TTATCTCTGCCATTTCATAACTACGAAATTTCAATATATTTAAAACGCGGTTCCACGAGCAGCGCCACCTGACGTACGATACACCTTTCATTTAGGAAAATTCTGCAATCCCATTTAAACCTCAACTTTTAATTTTATCCTCTTCACCACTGATCGGCTCGTTAGCCGCTTGAGCGATCTGTCACTCTGTTACGCACTGTTGGCAAGTACTGGGCATGCAGCGGCTCCTGAATGTACCTGAACCCGCTCCAGTGTTGGTCAAGTCTGGTCTTGAAAGGGCTTACACTCGGTGCCGTCACAACACTTTCTGGTAGATTGTTCCAAGAGTTCACAACTCTCACTCTGAAAAAGCTGAAAAAGTTTGCCCTCACAGTTTTCTGGACTTGCGGCTTCTTCAATCTTGAGCTGTGACCCCTTGTGGGGCGAGCGTCCGCCAGCTCCAATTAAGGACACTCGACTGAGTAGTGCCCTTTGAGATGCTTATACACCTCTATTAGGTCACCCCTTGCCCGTCTGTAGTATAAGCTAGGCAAGTTCAGGCGCTCCAATCTCTCAGGAAAGCTGAGGTGCCGAAAGGCAGGCACCAGTCTGGTGGCCCTCCTTTGAACATTTCAACCAACTGACAGTCCCTAGCATATCTCGGGGACCAGACGGGGTGACAGTACTCCAGATGGTGAAGCACTTCACTCTTGAAGATCGTTACGAGGGACGGACCGTCTAGATATCTGAACGACCTTCGTATAAGACCCAATAATTTATTTGCCTGATTTACCTTCTACTCGCAATGGCCCGAGAACTTCAGCTCATTGTCAACATACACACCTAGGTCCTTCTCACATTCAGGCTCAAAGAGTGCAGTTTCTTCATCCCGTTGGGACATATGATACGCCTCCTTACCGTTGGTACGTCCCAGGTGCATCCTCTTAAACTTCGTGACATTGAATCTCAGCAGCCATTTCTTCGACCATTCTTGGAGCCCACAGAGGCCCTTCTGCAGCTCTTCACGGTCCGCTTGGTTCTTGATTTCCCGAAATAACTTGGCGTCATCGGCAAGCATTTGTATGGAGGAGTGTACAACGTCAGGCATGTCATTTATGAAACAAACAAACAACAGCGGGCCCAATACACTGCCCTGTGGTACCCCGCTTGTGACAGGTACGGATGATGATTTCGTGCCATTAATCACCACACACTGCTTGCGGTCATGTAGAAAGTCTTCTATCCACGCTAGGACATTTCCCCGAATTCCGTACCCTTCCAGTTTGATTTTCAGCCTTTCGTGGGGTACACTGTCGAAAGCCTTGCCAAAATCTAGGTAAATATTGTCGATAATACCACCCCGTTCCAGAATATAGGTGCTGTATTTTGGACTGCTTGCAGCTTGTGTTTGTTTGTTTTAGTTATTGTGTTAAGTGGAATTAGTGGGTATTCAAGGTGTGGTCTGACGAGTGATTCGTATAGATGTAGTTGTGTTTTGGTGTTTAGTTTTCTGAAGCGACTGAGTTTGGTTAGTTATGATTTGGCTTTCGTCAATCTTTCCCTAATGTGTTGGTGTATACCGTTTCTGGTAATTTTGACTCCCAGTGTTTTTCCCCTTTCTGCATATGGTAACTGTTGATTGTTGATTATGATTGGGTAATGGGTATGGATTTATTTTTGCAATGTATATAATCTTTAGTTTTTGGATGTTGGTTTGGATTTTCCATTTTCTCTCATATTTGTTAATTGCTTCAATTTCTCTTGCTGTTCTTATAGCCATCATTTGACGTGTTATATTTCCCAAATCTCTGTTTTCTTACTGCTGTCCCCACTTGTTGCGCCTCCTTCAGAGAATGATCTCTCAACGCCTAGATTTGACTTGTTATCAACAGTATCCAGTAAGTGTTATTAACAGAATAGTTGTGATTAGGGTTGTTGTATCCTACGTGTAGGATCTTGCATTTCGTAATGTTAAAGAAAACAAATATATTATAATTATCTGCAATTGTATCTGTAAATAAATTAATGATCGTACTCAAATAGGCTTTAAGATCCTACGTTGTGATATTAGGAAACATCAGTTTGCCTGTGACAAGTGAGCAATGAACCAACATACTGTACAGTACAACCTATATATACAATACACGCTACATACAAGCTATATACCTATTATATATCCCCTACTTACAAGCTATATACCTATTATATATCCCCTACATACATTCTTTATACACCCTGTCCTGGAAAACCTGAGAAATACTTGCTAAAATCAATTTATTAAATTCCGTTGTTATATTAGAGACTGGCGCCAAACTTTAATTTACCAATGTGGTTTGGTCGGCAGCCAAAACTCAAAGGTGTGCTTCAACAAACACGCACATACTGTACATATGCGGCACAAACGCACTTAAACTGCAGTGGTTCTTAAACTTTTTTGCCTCGCGTACTGGGTACTTTCTGTGAGTGGACTTTGTAAATTGTAATAATAACAATAATAAAATATCGGTTTATTAACAAATACAGCAGCCATAAGCAGAAAAATACACAGATGACATAAGTGGTACATATATAATATATAATGACAAGGGGGAGAGGGTCAGTTAACAAGGAATGTGTGTGTAAGAGTGGGGGTTGAGTTGGGTGTTGGCCAAGGAAGAACCTGTTCAACTTAACTTTGGTGAAGATAAGTCAAAGGTCAGTATTGCGGGTCAAGGTCGAGGTTAGTGTCGTCGGGACTCGTGTTCCTTTGTTTTAGTTTAGCCTTATTATTATTATTATTATTACTAATATAGACCATAAAGTAAAGTCTTGACTACTAATGATTAGCGATTTGAGAAATACTCATACATACATCCATACATACATAGGTATAGGAGAGAATATAGATCGAAATGCCACAAATGCTAAAGTGGGAATTACCTTACTGTATGTTACGGTTTGGGTGTATTACGTAAATTACATTAGTGTCTATTATACGGCCAGTGTGTTTATTGTTATGGTTCTGCACAGGGGTGTGATGGTGCAGCTAATATGCCTAGCATCCACCAAGACGTTCAAGCTTGCATCAGTCAACGGGTCAAAGTAGCTATGTACTATTGTGGACAAAAGTATCGACCCGCACAGCACACCCGCAGCAGGTAACAATCAGGGTAAGTCAGTTCGGAGACTCATTCCCGTGTCTCAGTTTATCTACAGGAAGCGAACTTTTGTCCACGATAGTACAGTCCTGTATTCGATGAATCTAGCTCTTGTTCATTCCTTTAAGGATACAATGGTACGGAACATTACGGGAACAGTATACAGGAGATTGCGTTTGTTTTTAATTATTTAGTCAAACGACTTCTACAGTTCAAATGAAGCTCCGGAGAAAATCAACTTGTCAGAGATAAAATGCAGGAGAGTACCAAATTAAGTACCTCATGTGAAACATGGTGGTCCAGATGGGTTGATTCCCTCTTAACGTTGATGTCATCCATGGTAGTTGTGGCAGATTCCCTTGACAGTCTGCAAGATGATAGTGATGCTGATTTTATTGTATGTCTCATTGCTGCTGAGCATACACTGCAAATCACTGTTCTTTTATCTAATATGCTGCAGAATAATTCATGTGATCTGATTGCAGCATAAATTGAGTCGGTTGTTATAACTCTTGGCCTCCTGAAAAACGAGTGGATTGACGATGTTTGGGATGTCTTCTTGTATGATGAAGCTGTTGAACTGGCTTCACAGATTGATGTCAGTCTCACAATGTAATGATGTTTTCCCAACAAGTTCACCGTGTCAATACACCTGCTGATAACACCAGCCAATATTTCCCTTTTTTTGATCACTTAACCGAGGAGCTAGAGAGCAGACTGCAGACACCACAAGTGAAAGGGGGACACCCCTCATTCACTTGTCATGAAATTCTTCAGCACTGGTGGCTGTTGTGAACGGGGGACACCCCCCATTCAGTGATCACATCTCAATCTTGGGTATTATATATGGGTGGCATAGGCGCTTACACATCCAAAAAAACCCTGCGAGTTCTACTTCTAAATACTCGTATATATTGTGAAAATCCACCCTCTGTAGCATCGACTAGCGTAAACAAAAATCGATGATCTACTGAAGATACCTTTTGTATACAGTTGGAGCCTTAATTCGTCAAGAACTCATGTAATTCACCGAATTAAGAAAACGCAGTACATGTATTAGCTAATTTGCGGGCACTCGACATCTCTTCAAAGTTCAATCGATGTTGAAATGACGTTACAACATGATTACTGTTTCGATTCAACATGATAGGGTGATAGGGCGTTGCGTGCACATTGGGTTTGTATGCTGTTTAATGTTTCTGAAGCTCAGTCCATAAGATTTTTTTTTATAATTTTATTCCACACACTATGCAGAATTATTAAGTGCTACTATTTGATATTCTGTACTGTAATATACAATATAACTTGGTACAGTACAGTTTAAGGTCGACTTTGTAAACGAATTAATACACTTGTAGGCCCCATTTAACCCACACAGTATTTTGGGTCACAACTGATTTCTTAAAACCTCTGGTTATTTGATTAGTTAACCTAACTATAGAAACCATTATCTGTTTTTCGGCATAGGCTTTCTACCTCATCCACATTGATTTTTTTTTGGCGTGTTCTCCTGTCTTACATAGAATGATGATAAACTGCAGCGCCTTTCAAAATTCTATGTCTTTCAAGCTTTGGATATAGCAATAATCATTCTAGAAAGTGAAGGGTATAAAAGCAGAACATTTTTCGTTTGACTTCCATGCTATTTTACTGCTTCTACCATTCTCTCCCTCCACCAGATCTAACGCCACCAACATGACTGCCAAGCGTACAACTACATTAGCGCAACAAAGTAAGCAGAAGATGCTTTTATTTAATAATTATCCATTTACGTAAATAATTATTATGTCAAAAATATTTTTAAGATCACCTTGAATATATTTGCTTTGAATTAAAAGAACACAGAAGAAATTGGACCATTGCGGTAAGATATCTCCTTGTCAGAATTGGCGCAGGAAAGCTAGAGGTTATTGTGGCGCTACAAGCTGAGAAGGGAGGATCATGGGCGTTGATGTGCACACTATTTCGCCGGGAAATGGTGAGCTAATTTATGAACAATATTGTTAAATGTGTGCATTTACAACTTTGCATTTAGTGTAAAACTGGCTTTTCAAATGTATTTGTGTGTGGGGAATGTTGTAAACTGACATCATTGGTGGGGAGTGCTGAAGCCTCCCTTGCTCTGCTATTTGTAGTAGGTGACTGATTTCCGTAATTTTACTCCAGGACGAAAAAATAGTGAATAGTATAAAGCCAAATATCACCAGAATGTTAAACGAAGTGTTTTATGTATTTGTATTTGCAATGGTAAAAGTTGGCAAATCATTATTAAATGTCGCAGTAGCCATTGAACGAGTTTGAATTTTAAGGTGTTCACAGCCGCATTCCTGAGTGCGCATGTCATCTCAAGGACGGTCACTCACTCATTTGAGGAAAAAAAAAGCTATTGCTTCTAAATTCAAACATCATTATAAATGCTTGCTAACGACGATTTTCCGAGGTTGGAAAATATATAGAATTATAAGTGTGAGTAGAATTGTATGTGGAGTGTAGGTACAGGTTGTGTAGAGAGCCAAGTGCAAGTTGAGTTGCCTGAGGCAAGGCGTCAGGAATCATTTCAAGGACTGGGCAAGTGGATGCTGATATGGAGGATTGCTTTGTATTTTTGCTCACTTGAGGCCATCTTGGTCATATTTTATGGTAAGAGTAAAAATAATTAGAATACTAAAGGAATAACGAGAATTATGTAATCTTCTGGAATCCAACTCCTGCAATTCCTTGCGCAAGAGTTTTAAAGTTTCACAATCCATGGACATGTTAGTCCAAAGCCGTTAGGTACCAGAGGACCAGGTAATTACTTGTCAGAATAGATAGGGATTAGAACGATAAGCTGCATTGTTTAAAAGATTGGTAAAGGTGTATAAAAGATCTAGTAGACAAGAGCTTACATAACATTTGGTGGCCTTGTGTATGTATGATGTTGGGCAGTTCTCCCCATTGTGATTAATCAAATTATAATAAATCGTTAAGTAGTTTTGGCTAATATGGAGGACTTCACAGACGCTTCGCATATACCAGAGATATTTACACTAGCATCCATTAACCTAACCTATATACTAACCTACCGGGGTAACCTATGTAGGTTAGGTTAGGATAGATTAAGGTAGGTTAATAGACACTACAGTGTAAATATTCCGGTAGACGAACTCCAGCCTGGTAGAGGCTGGGGGTCCGACTACTTTCCCCAAATGTAGCCAAAAATAGCCGGAATGAAGTCAAATAATGGTCCTATATGAATAAATCGGACTGCTAATCACTTCTCAACTAGTATTTGGTGTCTGAAAGTCACAAAAAAATTGGAAAACTTACTTTAATCTGAGTTAATAGATCGCGTGCATGTACCGACGGAGCAAGGAATTACCCAAATGTAGACGCAATGAAGTCAAATAATGGTTCTAGATGAATAAATCGGATTGCCAATCACTTCTCGACTAGTATTTGGTGTCACGAAGTCACAAAAAGTTGGTAAACTTAATTTAATCTCAGTTAATAGATTAAGTGCATGTACCTAATCTAACCTAACCCAACACAACACAACTCAGATTAAATTAAGTTTACCAATTTTTTTTTTACTTTATGACACCAAATAATAATCGAGAAGTGATTCACAGCCCGAATTATGCTTGTACGACCATCATTTGAATTCATTGCGGCTACATTTGGGTAATTCCTTGCTCCGTCGGTACATGCACGCGATCTATTAACTCAGATTAAAGTAAGTTTTCCAATTTTTTGTGACTTTCTGACACCAAATACTAGTCGAGAAGTGATTAGCAGTCCGATTTATTCATATAGGACCATTATTTGACTTCATTCCGGCTATTTTTGGCTACATTTGGGTAATTAGTCGGACCGCTATAAGCAGCACCAGTAAAGGTTGGGTTATGTTAGGTTAGGTTAGGTTAGTTTAGTTTTAACATATTGACCATAACGACAGTGTCCACTATAAAACAGTGAAATTGCGGCATTTTAAATAAGTTTTCCATAAAAAATCAGCGGCTGTGAAGTCATAAATAATTACTGTATTTTTAAAGGCTTTGATGGGGAAGGGGTTACCAGGATAGGTATTAATGGAAGTACTGTACAGTAATTAGATAGAAATGTTACCGTAGAGCCAACTAAATGGGTTCCATGCACGAGTGCCCTACAGACTTATATAAACTTAATTTTAGAGGTTTTAAAGGAGGATGCTAAATTTAATAATACTTCTTTGATGTGTAGTTTGATTGTTTATGCAATTATCTGCATTTTGGTCTCTTGTATTGCTGAATCACACCTATAGGATTTTCAAATGGACAGTGCCCAGAATATCTAACAACTCGCTTTTTAAGGATTAGTAACATGAACCAGCTTTTGAAAGCTGGGAATTTTGGACTTGGTTGCGGCTTTAACATTTCTAAAGGCTTTGGCTTGGAAGCCAGTCATGGCACTAGTTTGAAGCCACAGGCATGGCACCAGCTTTGAAGCCACAGACATGACACTGACTGTGGTAATTATTTGAATCTTGACTTGCTAGTTTGGTGGACAATTTTTGATTAATTTTACTCGATATTTGATGCTTAATGCAATGAAGACAGTCTTTATTGTGGAAACGCTATTTTTTTTTCTCCCAACCGGTGGAAAAATAAAGTGGCATGTGCATCTGTGAGCCTAAACCATTAATGACAGGCAAATTAACTTATCTAACGTTACTGAACTACTGTAACATATAATTTATGATAATGTAAGTCTGTAGCTTCTCATCTTTGCTTGATGAAAATTTCATTCACACACACACACACATATATATATATATATATATATATATATATATATATATATATATATATATATATATATATATATATATATATATATATATAATATATATATATATATATATATATATATATATATATATATATACTATATATATATATATATATATATATATATATATATATATATATATATATATATATATATATATATATATATATATATATATATATATATATATATATATAGTACTTGCTGTATATAGTATAGTATAGCTACATTTCTGTGTACGGTATATATTTTGTTGAGTGTACTGTAATACTTCATAATTTTTAAATGGATATCATGTCAGTGAATACTGTACTGTTTGGCGTAACAAGACTTTTACAATGTCAGTTATACTATGTGTCGACAAAGTCCTTTTCTGGATTTAAAGTTTTTGTTACAACCAAACCAAAGTAAGGTAGAATTATTCATTTTTTTGCATCTTGTCAAGGGATCTTAAAACAGTGATATAATTTTGTTTGTTCTATGCAAATCAAGTTGAATCAAATTGTCCAATCTGTGTTTTGTTATAAAATGGAATTTCAGGGTGATGTCCTCATTTCCAGATGTTCTGAGCCAATTGAAGGTTGGCACAAGTAAATGAGTTTGGTTCTCCATGATGTGTCAGTATTGATTTGCTGTCGTCCAGGCCAGTCCAAACTGGTTGCTTCACCTCAAGGTCTTAGAATTATTTTATGTATCCTACTTCCGAGCCTAGGGAGATGGCGATGCCATTTGACTCATTCCCTTGTAGCTTTGTATTTTTCCTTAAACTTTCAAAATTGTACGTCTCATTTTATGAATTTATGATTGATTGGTGATTACCAGGAATTTTACATTTAGTGGATCTCTTTTAGGCGAGACCTACCCAAAACCTGGTCAGCAAGTGGTGGTACATTACACAGGTTAGTAAAACTTGACATTATTTTCATTACTAGGAGAATTGATGTGGAAATCATTATCACCTATAATTTGATCAAATTAATATAATGAAATAAGACTACCTAAGGTTAGATGCTTTATTTGCATTTGAGTTACAAACATTAATATTTAAATAACTATTAAGTTACAGTAATATTGATGTGAAGATTAAGGTCATTAATAATGTATCTTACTTTACAGGGATTATCAACTCATTATTTTCTTATTGGACTGTACTGTATTTCTTAATCTTTATCACTTGTCTTGGAGATGATAGTGAGAGGTATGAGGTAAAATCATCATTATTATTACCTGGTGGCAATACTCCATGCTGCTTGGTCTCTTGCAACCTCTTGTCTCAGGTTCTTAACACTGTCATTTCTTACAACCTTTCCATACACGGGATTATTCTGGGCTACTGTCCAACCCCTATTTTTCCTCTTCTATGTTTAGACCCTTGCATCTGTTGACCCAGTTGGTTTACTTTATTCTCTCCACTTGTCAAAACCATCTCAGTCTACCTCTACATAAAAGCTCATCAATGCTCTCAATATCCAGCCACCCTCTTAGCTCTGAAGAGTTTTGTCTTTCAGTGTCACATTACCAGTCTACTTCACTGTTCTCATATCCGGTTGCTTAAGCCTGCATATGTCATCCTCTAAACCTGCTCGTGTTTCACTGCCATACAACGTCACACTTCTCTTGTCAGTTTCATACATCATTCCTCTCGTGCATAAGGCAGGTCATGTTGTCAGTAAAGGCATCAACTCCCCAAACTTCCTCTAGGCACTTCTGACTTTTGCAAATGAGCTCATCTTTAGTACTACTTCTGGCAATGATCATATCACCCAGGTACCAGAACTCATTGACACAACCCAAGAGGGATATATCCCCAGTGTTGAATTTCTTCAGCCTTGTTATGGCCACTTGATTACCTACTCATACAAAACACTTACCGGTAAACAATATCACGCAACCTACCATTTTCACTATTCCACTGTTTGTTTGCCCATCCTTTATACTTAGTACACATGAAAGGTAAAAAAATAAAATCTGCTTGCTAACAGTGTTTTCATAATTGGGAACTTTGTAAGGTACAGGAATTTCTTAATTATGTCTTTATCAGACATGTACAGTGTTTCATTCTGTTTTTGTTTCACCCTTCAGGAACTCTAATGGATGGCAAGAAGTTTGATTCTTCCCGAGATCGTGGCAAGCCATTTAAATTCCGCATTGGACAAGGAGAAGTCATCCGTGGTTGGGATGAGGGTGTTGCTAAGGTAAATTATTCTATCTTAGGTTCACTTTGATACATTAATTAGGGAAAGTTACATATTTGTTTATCAAAGAGGATTCAGTGAATAAATATTGATAATACTTAAACAAAATAGAGTACAGACGGGTTGCAGAGTCCGTGTATTCATAGTACGCGGCCATGCTTAAATGCGTCTGACCAGCATCTTTTGCAGGAGAATGGGGTCTACCCACTTAGCTAGTTCATGAGCCTCTTCCAGTATCTCGCTAAGGCGTCTCTATCTCCCAGGCATTCATGCTCATAATGTTTTTCTTTATTGGCGAATTTTACCACAATCATGGCCCCTAAGAGGTAAATTAGTGGCAGTGCCCATAGTGGTGAGAGTGAAAAACATTACCAGTAGCTATTTCTAAACAAGGTAGAGTACCGTACATGGATTGTGGGAGTTCATATAGTTGCCTTTTTACCTTGGGTAGGGTGACCTTAGTACAGTTTAAAAAAAGGTTTATATATGTATACAGGGAGGACTCAAATACACACGAATTTGCACTTACGTGTGGATCCCAGCAACGTAACCCTCATGTACTCTGAGACCCCACTGTTCTACAGGTTTGCAGAACATACTGCCTCAGTGAAGGTAACACAAATGTACATAAATGCTAGATGAATAAAGTCTTTGTATATTTACATTATTTAATGTTTGGTTATTTAAGGTTTACAGAATTATAATTATCACAAGTAGCCATGTTTCGTGATATTTTAAATCTTCTGCTTGACTTAAAAGTAATATTGTACAGTACAGCATTACTGTATACTTGAAACTCTGCAAACAGTTGTAGTGTGTATCGTAAACTCTTTTTGGTCCTCAGACCAGATATCCATGCATTATCACAGTTCCATTTATTTAATGGACAGTGAATCTAAAGTTAGATGTAGATATTGAGAATTTAAAGGGAAAGTGGTCAAATTACAGATAGACTACGATATGCAGTACCAAAGGGTTCCATTCCTGAGAACCCTTTCTTAAATAAAAAGCTGCTAAATTGAAGCACATTTTTCCATTCCATAGTCCCATTGTAAAAGCTAAAGTACATTTGCAACAAAAAAATATTATTTTAGCATTATTTCATTACTACTTTGGAATAATATTAATCCTTCTAGCATTTTTTGTTCTGATCAAATAAAACTCTGGGATACTAAACACAACACTCCTACAGTAAAATTGTCTTGAGTCAGCGTCTTACCACAGCTTCACGTTGCATTCCTGTGAACCGTGATAACTAAAAACCATATTATTTTTAGCTTAGTTGGCGACTTTTAATAGTGTTGTATTCAGTTTATGATTTTACAAATGTTTTCTATATTTTAAGCTGTGGCAAAATTAGCCAATTGAACCACAGTGGCTCTGCCAACGAAACATTCCCTAGTGTCTTGTTTATTTGCATTCAAAGTATACTGCATGTGTTTCAGGCTTCAGTAAGGTTGTTGTACATTGATATACCATACCATTAACCCTTAAACTACTCTTTGATATTTTGTTACTGCTCCATTTAATTTTTATATATGTTGGACTCAAACCGAAAAACGACCCCATTAGAGGTTCATGGCGCCATAAGCTCGTTGAACAGGCTTTGTGTGAAACATAACAGTCTAGGACTGCTTTTATTATCCTGGTGGTCCAGCGGTTAGCGTTTCCCGGTCACAGTCATGGGCTCGTGGGTTCGAATTCTGGCAGGTTGAGGTGTTGAATATGTGTGTGTGTGTGTGTGTATATATATATATATATATAATATATATATATAATATATATATATATATATATATATATATATATATATATATATATATATATATATATATATATATATACCTATATATATATATATATATATATATATATATATATATATATATATATATATATATATATATATATATATATATATATATGCTGATAGCCACAAGGAAAGAAGAAAACACGAAGTTCCCAAGCGCTTGGGAACTTCGTGTTTTCTTCTTTCCTTGTGGTTATTAGCATATACCTAGATCATGCGCACCTACAGTGATTATTATTTTATTATTATTAGTATTATTTTATTATTAGTATTATTTTATTATTAGTATTATTTTATTATTATTTATTGTTATTTTATTATTATTAGTATTTTATTAGTAGTATTATTATTTTATTATTATTAGTATTATTATTTTTTATTATTAGTATTATTATTTTTATTATTTTTTTATTATTATTATTGTTTTTTATTATTTTTTTTATTAATATTTTATTTTATTTTATTATTATTATTATTTTATTATTATTTTATTATTATTATTATTATTATTATTATTATTATTATTATTTCATACATGTAGTGCAGCAGGTGCTCCTGTACTTAAGAACAAGTTATGTTCTCGAGTCTTTTTCATAAGCCCGTTTGTTTTAAATCCAACTTTACTCTTGTTGATATTAAACATATATTAAAAATTGACAAATAAATGATGCACAGTACAACTACAGTATACCATCAAGCCTTCAAAATCCTGTGTCAGGACCATCAGCCAGTACTGCGCCATGATCTTATCTACTGTAGGATCTGTGAGAACAGGCAATGTGTGGTGTAAGTTACCTCCAAAGGTTTTATTTGACCAATATATTGTATTAATTTCTAGTGGTTTATTAGTACATACTATTTTATTAATATAAATAAAGATAATCAAGATACAGTCCCCTTCAGTGCGTTTACAGGGGCTCGTCATATAAACACCTGGAAAAGTCAGGGAATTTTGTTTTGTCTGGCCAGTAGACACCCTGAAATAGTGGTCGTAATGACGTTTGGAAGATTTTAATTACATTTCAATGCTAATTACTTGCCAACTGGGTTTCTGAGGTGCAATTTTGGTGTTTTTGTGTTCTTCTAGAAGTACTTAATTATTTAAACCCTTTAAATTCCAATTCCCCCTCAAAAAGTTTATTTTGGTAAAGAAAAATTGCCAAGGCTTAATATTTTGGCGGTTATGGTCAAAAATTTGATTTCGTTGAAAATCTCGGTACTCCTGAGTATGCTGATTCCAAATATATGTCCATAATTCAATTGCGGGGTAATTACAGGGTGTCTACTGGTCAAGAAAACCTGGAAAAGGCAGGGAATTTTATTTGGGAGTTTTAATGTCACTAAATAAGTCCAATGCTTATTGTCCTATTGTAGTGGATGCAATCCTAGACAAGGTTCTTGAAACTCCAGAGCACGAGCAGTAGGTATATTCAATAAGTGTACAAGACTTGGCGTGATAGCCGACCGATACAGAGGCGAGCACAAGGGACCCCGGACCGTAGGTAGGCCGAGGCTGATCTGAGGGATGTTGTCTAGCTGGGCAAGGAGAGTTGCTAGACATCACTAGGACAATGACTGAGGTCCTCTAGTTACTCGACTAGCGCGGTACAGACATAGTATATCGGGGCCTAGTGAGTGAACATAGGCATTAGACATAAGCATAGATATCAGACATGGTATAATAATATGTAGTAATACAGACATGTGAATAAGTGGTACAATGAATGGTAACAGTCTTGGCGTCAGGCGTGTTCACATATCTATACACCTCAATGGCTAGCGTGTGCTCTAGGAGGCGTTGAACATCGAGGGAGATGCACGATCTTAATTGGATGAGTTGTTTCTGAGGGGGCATTCGGTTGAGGTCAGACATGACAGCAAAGTCTTCGAAACGACGTCGCCATTGACGGCATACTTGATATGTTGCATCAGATTGAAGAGGTGGGGGGCTGGTAACTGAAGACTTGCTGTGCAGGGGTGTGCTCGAGACGGCAAGCGGTGGAGGAGGCACGGAGAGGTCGACGAAAGTTGAGACTGGAACAGGTGGTTGAGAAGGCACTGAGGCATACCCAAGGGGGATAGGTGACGTGTGAGGAGGCGCTGTCTGCAGGATAGATGAAGAGGCTGAAGCTGGCGAATTGGTTGTGGCAGCTGGTGAAGTCGTCCTCATTGCCAGCAATTCCAATAGTGTCAGGAGTTTGTGGTTATCAGCTTGGTGGTGTTGTTGAAGTTGGAGACGGTAAGCTGATTCCTCTTGACGTCTTTGGGCTTCCTTCTCTTGGGAAACTTGTAGGAAGTAGATTAACTGACGTATATCCTGGCTCCCATCCTTTGAATTTGGCGCGCCCGGCGTGTGAGGGGGGGTGGGGGGGGTCTGTGAGGCTTCGTCTACCTCATAATCCTCATCTAGATTTCCCGGCAAATCGTCGTGGTCAGACATCTCGTGCTTGGTGTGGTTGCGATGGGAAAGACAAGGAGAATAAGGTGAAGTGCTATGTTTTTGTCAATGTACTTGCCTAAGTGCAGGAACTGGCGGGCAAGTAAAAGAGTACTGACTGTAATATTTGTGAAGTGAGGGGAGGCGGTTGGCAGCGGTGTATCCCTCCGGGCGCCCGGGCGGGGGCTGGTGGTGACTCAGTGTGGGGAGTCAGTGGCTTGCGGGCCTGTGTGGACGGGGGGTGTATGCCGGAGGTGCTGTCTTGGAGACTGGGCTGGGGGCGTTTCTGCTACCTGTAGGGCCGCAGAGACATAGCAAACAGACATGAAAGGCACTGCACTTCACTTAGGGCACTTCACAAGGTCACAAAGCACTTTAAATCCAGGGGCACTGTGGAGTATATCTTCTGGGCGGGAAACAGAGAGGGCCGGGAGACGGACTAGGCCGGCTTTTGCGACTTGTGAACTGTCGTGTTGGAGCTACTCAACTGCGCCATGTAGTGGATGCAATCCTAGACAAGGTTCTTGAAACTCCAGAGCACGAGCAGTAGGTATATTCAATAAGTGTACAAGACTTGGCGTGATAGCCGACCGATACAGAGGCGAGCACAAGGGACCCCGGACCGTAGGTAGGCCGAGGCTGATCTGAGGGATGTTGTCTAGCTGGGCAAGGAGAGTTGCTAGACATCACTAGGACAATGACTGAGGTCCTCTAGTTACTCGACTAGCGCGGTACAGACATAGTATATCGGGGCCTAGTGAGTGAACATAGGCATTAGACATAAGCATAGATATCAGACATGGTATAATAATATGTAGTAATACAGACATGTGAATAAGTGGTACAATGAATGGTAACAGTCTTGGCGTCAGGCGTGTTCACATATCTATACACCTATCATATTTCATGTTAGCGATCAAATAACCAAATGTTACAGGTTATACCTCCTAATTCTGCAATGGGTATTGTCAAAGATGAATTGTTCTTATAATTACGTAACTTTATTTAAGTGGATTATTCCTCATATTTATCACGAGTCATACAGGTGGATCAGTAGTGTGATTTTTTATTTTTTGACGGATTTTCGGCTTTTATGGAACATGCAGGTTGACCCACGTGAATTGTGCAAATCCGAGGAGAAAAATATGGAGGGGGGGATATCAAAGTCTTTGCCGATGTTCATCACTAGGCTTGCTGTGAGGGTCCTGAAAGGGTCTTCAATTTCTTGATTAATATCATGTATATATTCTTTAAATTTCCCAATAATATACCTGTATACATATTATTGAAAGCTTCTAATTTTGTTATTCTGTCATAATAAATACCGAATTAGTGTACCTGGAATTTGATAAAGCAAGGATAACTTTGACTCAACTAGTGTGTTAGTTTGATGAAGGGTGGGGCAGTGCCAGTAAATTTCGAGGATGCTTATTGCCCTATTCCTATTTATAATATATTCAGGAAATTATTCATTTTATGACAGAACTTGGAACAAGGCAACTCAGTCTGCTGGTTCCAGACTTAATTACCTGTCATATGTTTTTGATGTTTTAATGCCCTTGCTTTTTCTGACTGTGATGTTGGCCTAGTTTTAGGAAGTTAGGCAAAGTTTATTTTAGAGAATTTTCATTTAGGTCAATGTTTTTGGTTCTTGCTAATCTTTTCCGTCTCATTCATTATGCTTTTTCCTTTGTCGACTTGAAATATTAGTTAGAAGATTTTATGTCCTACTTTATAGAAAACCTTTTCAAATTCAGGTTAAAGCTCTAAATTGAGGATTAGAATAGGTCTAAATTTTTTTAAGAGAAAAGAAGCTAGAGACCTTAAATCCCACACCACTTGATTGTGTAATGTCCTAAATCAGCAGGAAACTGAGAACTGGAGTATGTTCTCTGGAACAACAGGACCTGTGCAAGTTCGCGTGGATTTACTTATAGCAGATATATTGAAGAGGTAGTGAAAAATCGAAGGATGGAATATAGTCAAATGGCCTGAGAGTGAATGTGGCAAAAACAAAAGTATTGATTTGTGGTGTGGGTGAAGGGCCTGTGGTGGTAAATAGCCTTGTGCTGTCTGCAAGAAAGGTGTTAACAACTCGGTAATGAGTGTGGAAAGTGGTTATGCAAGAGTTGCAGTGGAGTAAATTGCAGTCAGAGAGATGTTGCTGACTTTAAGTGATCTGTATTCCTGGTATTGATTTACATATTTTCCTCTTTTCTTTTCTCCTTCTAGATGTCTGTTGGTCAGACGGCAAAGTTGATCTGCAGCCCTGACTATGCCTATGGTGAAAAAGGTTTCCCTGGTGTGATCCCTCCAAATGCCATACTAACATTTGATGTGGAACTACTCTCTGTGGAGGCATAAACACCTGCAATGCGCTGCTGCCAGTTGGGTTGGGGAAGGCCAGTGTAAGGAATTTTGGTGTGTACCTAAGGGTGCCCCTCTTTCACATTTTCTTGTTTTACCGATTCCTTGATATACGGCCTCAGTGATGTAATGATTTTTAAGCATTTATGAGATCACTTCATCACAAGATACAAAAAGGAAAATCTTAAATTATTATAATGATTACTGTTATTATTCATATTTTTTGGTTTTTTTTTGCCCTTGGGGCAGTGGACTATGTGGTAACCTATGAAAAGTAATACCTGTAATTGCCTTCAATTGCTCAGGAATAAATACTTTCCCGGAGGTGGAGTGGCCCCAGGTCGAGGAAGATTCCCACTGCCGTCCCTTGTACCCACCCAAGTACTGTGGACATCCCTTTAGACCTAACTAGGGATGTTACATGGACTGTTGGCAGACTATCTGTAATACTGGTTTATTATGTTGTACCTTTTTTTATTTTAGTTAGTTTTATAATAACTACATCTGCCTCTGACCTCAGTGATGCTTTATACTTTACACATATAGCCCTGAAAGTATATTACTTAGGCCTATATACAAAATTATCATGCATACTAAATGACAAAGTATACTGAAGTGGGTTTACTTGGCTGAATTTGACTTGTTTTAAAGTCATGCAATTAAATTTGCAAAATTTGGCTTACAGCTTTTAATGCAACCTACATGTAAATCTGCAAAATTGTTTGTGGACTGCTTACATGAAAATATTTGGTAATGTAATATGTACACCAGAGCTTTAGTATGCCACAGCCTGTGTATGCCAGAGCTTATAGATTACAGGTAGCAGCAGACTATACACACCTTTTTTGTGTCGAATAATGCTGGAAGTTGACTGTTTTACTTAATTCTCCAAAGCAATACAGTATAATGAATTTGAGTCAGAAGTCCAGTATTGTCACCATTAATTATCTGAGCATGTATTTAGGACAGTTTGAAAGGATACTCCAGCACATTGCTGTTGGATGATGCATTTAGAACACATGTACTGTATCAAAAAAATTATTAGATGTGTGGGCTATATCCTCTGGCTAGTGTATTTGAGAATTGAATGAAGGCCACACACTTAATGAGTGCATCACTTTGAAGGTCATGTTTATTGCTGGGCACAAGCAGTTGTACCCAAGATTTGCTTTACACTCTGACTTTGGTGCAACAGTAAAAGTGAACATTCCCATTTATGTTCCCTGAAGTAGAATTTTAAAGTTCTGGCTGAGCCTGTGCTTTTAGTCTAGATGTAGAATCTTGGAATATGCAGCTTGACCCATGGTAAGGTCATATATCATGATCCCAGTCCATCTCCATACTTCATACTCTGTACCTTTTTCTTTTGTAACTTCTCAGTACAAGGTTCTTCTGGTCAAATAAAATATGTATGAAAATTTGTATTTCATTTTCTCTTTAATGACAATCATAAAAAAAAAGGTTGTAAAAAGGTATGCAAGAAATGATGCACACAATCTGATTATGGATAAACCAATTTGGACATTAGGTGGATTTGTACTTTGTGTGGGTCTAATTATTACTGTAGTATTAATACAAGTGTTACTATTACAGTACAGTACTATTAATACTGAGCAAAGTTGAATGACTGTGATAAACCCTGGAACATACAGGTCAGCAAGCTAGGCATGCCATGATGTAAAGGTATGTTGCCTAGCACTTTGATTACCATAATATTATCATTAATAGCAATACTGTACCATTATTATTCTTACTGTAAAGTAATCAGAGTATTATGCATATTCCTTTTTAGCATGTATTATAACTAAAATATGTCATACCAATATGGTTCTTAACTATCATTGATATTTATATAATTTCCCAATTATTTTTATACAAATTACTATATCACAAAAAACACACACGAAACAAAATTAAGTGGTGTAAGACTGTGTATGTAAAAACTGATAGTGGGCAAGGTACGTTTCTGGGTGTGGCAACTGTAACTCTTGATAATTCAAAATGTACCTAATTTTGCTAGTTACGCACCCCTTCTAAAGGCGACGCCTCAAGTGTAGCCTGATAACAAATATGTATCATTGTAAACATTAGCCTTTCACTTTTAATACTGTACTCTACTTCCCTTCTGTGAATGTCTTTCACGTTGGCAAATAACCAGGCAATTGAAAAATAATTTGTATATTGTACAATAGTTAAAGGTTCATACTGTGTATATTGTCCACACAAACATCTGCACCACCACAAACTTTGACTCATCACTCTGGTATTGTTGGCTTTTTTTTTTTGTTGGTTTTACACTAATAAAGTTTAAGTCTGGAAAGTTAGTTTCCTTACAGCTGTTGATGGATTAGGTAGTGTGAGTATGGTACCTCCTGCCTGCCTGTTTGTTTGCTGACTTGGGTATACAGAGTGACGTTAGGCCAACACTATGTCAGAAATTTAGACTTGATCCTGAAGTCCTATTTTCCACCCAAGGTGGGAGCCAGTGTTTCAGGTCTCCCTCCTACGAGGGAATTTGATTGAGCTGAAGCTGAGGAGGTTGATTTGGTTGAGCAGTTTTTAGGTGATTTAGTGAAAGAAAGATCAAGGAGCGTACATGTACTTAGTTTGTAGCCTTTGGGGTTAACTTTCATGTTAAGTGTGTCCTTCATTGGATTTCTGTATGAAGGTGAAGATTGGTTGTTATAATTTTCAAAATTATTAACCATGATATACTGTAGGCTGTAATAACTTCAACGACTTAAGCTATTATGATGCCATTTGTACGACTATATACAAATTAATCAATCATCTGATTGCATCCATTAGAAATAAGATTTCATGATCTATGGTGGAGTTAGGTGCTCGTTGTTCTCCCTAATTTCTGATAGGAGATGGCTAGAACTGAGTGGTTGGATTTGAATTCCCCTTTGATGGTTGGGACAGAAAGAGCAAGGTACAGTATGTTACATTGTAAACTGTACCATGATGCGTTATATCTCAAATACCCTTCTGCCATAGATAGCAACACCTGTTTTCAATGTATCCCATCTCTTTAATAGAAGGAACCCTAGCTACAGTGAGAGGGAAAGGTATTCCCAGCAACTTGGCCATCATTTCAAAGCGATTTATAGGTTTTATAACCAAAAGGCTAGTTTGAGTAACATCAACATCACTCACTCTGAACTAGTAAAGAAATGTAATTTCAGGATTTAGTCCCCCATTTTTTTAATACGTATAATAAACTAAATTTCCCAGTTGGAAGAGTTTCGCAATACTTTATTAAGTAAGAGTGGTTCAAAGAATAACATAGATTAGAAAAGTGAAGTTGACAAGTTTTTTAATAATATGTAAGAGTAAACTCAGCTTTCATAACTATTTACAATACAGAAACTGTCTTGTTTCTCATTCCTGTTTCATGATTCTGGTCCATAATTCAGTGATAAGTCTTAATTGAACACTTTAAAAGATGTTTAGGGTGCAAAAAAAAAAAAAAAAGCTAGTCATTATACCAAGCAAAATATGGAGAGAGGAGAATGTTGGAACAAAAATGAAAACGATTATATAAACACTGACTGCAGAACTAAAATGCAAGTGATTCTTCAAAAATTACTGCACCTGAATAATACTCGGATATCATACCCACTGATAATATGGGACATTTATTTATGCTACAGATAAACAACCATATTATTTGAATGTATTTAATAATTGCCGATGAAGACAGTCATAAATGATACCTACAGTTCTCAGTTAGGAAGAGGTAAACAGTCAAAGCTCCAAATTTCAACAAGTTTAGGGGTAGATTTCAACAGTGTTATAAAATGACCTGAAAGTCATTGTGCAGTATTAGAGGGAGAACTGGAGGAATATGAAAATAATGCTTTGTCTTCCTTGACTGTCAATCAATTTATAAAACACTGTTACACATACATGAATCTAAACTTGTAAAAGATCTTTAGATCAATGACTAGGCAAGGTCCTATCTTTGGTGACGCACAGGAACACCCAAGTAAACCTATGAATGCTAATTTAGATCTGTACATTATTATATACTTTCAATATGAATCTTTGTGAATAAGGGAATCACAACAAACAACATAGAAATAAAATACATATGAAAGGTAATGGATTACTAACGGATCAATTCTAAAGGCTCTTCATGATTCACAGATTATCAGATGAAGGAAAATGGTACACTACGAAAATTTTAACCAGATGAACAAGAACCAAGAGAAAACAGGATGAAGAACTGTGAATGGAAGATGTGGTGAAAGACAGCTTATGAATGGGAGGCGTCACACACTTCCACCTTCACTTAGGGTTTGAGTATCTGGTTCACGATTAGTTTGCAGGACGTTCATTTTGTGCATTGCTAACTTAAAATCCATTTAGCTTTAATTATGAATGAAGCACAACTTCCAAAACACTTAAATCTGTACAACATCTACAGTACATGTGAGCCAACAAGTATATTAGCACTCAAACAGGTCAGGTCTTAAAGAATTGTTTTGTCAATTTCTCATGTTAACCAACCTGATCAGTTACACCGAGTATTAACTTTGTAGAAAATATCTCGATAATTCAAGACAAAAATTACCCAAAATGTTCACCATTTTTGTGCCGCATATACTTATCTGGTGTAAAATCCTTAATATTTTTTTTGTCTGATTTACAATGGAAGTTGAGCAATCTTGTCTTCATAATGAAAATTTTGGCAAATCCTTATCCTGAATAACAGAGATACTAATATCTATCTATTATCATAGAACACCAACCAGGTGACATGAAAAGATATAAACACAGTTCATCACAGTATACACTGCCTTCCTGTCAACAGCACACAAATATCATTCCTCAATCTGTAACAGATAAACTTGCACTAAGTCCTGACTAGTCGCTCCTTATCCTATAATCTTCGAACGATCTTTAGCCTTACCATTGTCTACTGTAGGTTAAGTGTTCACCTAGAAGTTTCACTCACAAAGTGCAAGATTCATTAGTGCTCAGAATGTTTCATTTTCATTTGACATGATGGTGTGAGGATAGAATTGTGGTTATAACCGTATCAAATAAAGTAGAGTACAGTACATGTCATTTCTTAATTCATTGAACACAATAAACATGGTTTTCATTCCATGCACACTAATTTTCATTCCTGTATTTTCTTAAGAGGCAGCAAGGGTGCACTTGTATTGAACAGTGCAAGAAGTTGTTACCACCACTGGCATTTCCTTGATGAATACATTGAAGCATCAAGAATGTTTCTGTTTATGGCACTGTGTTCTGATGCCTCACTGTGGTCTTGTTTGATTAGCTGCAGTACACTTGTCTAATACTATACTGTCATAATTTTGTGTGAACCATCTAACAGAAATGACTTGACAATTCTGATTGAAAATTTCAACTGGAGTCATGTCACTGTTACTAAATCATGGCCAAGTCTTTGAATAGTAGATGGTTAAGTTTCCAAGTATTAGTTCAAGAATAACTAACATATGTGAAAGAGTAGTGAGTACAGTACTTAATTCTTCACAAAACAATCTTGACAAATACACTAATACTTTCGGATGTTTCTGGGATTTTTAGCAAGTAACTGGCAATCCACACACCAAATACCATTTGGTGGCACACAAATGACACTTTACAGATACATATAGACACATGGTGTACGTTTATTGACTAACTAATGGCCAGCACACAGTGGCAGTCAGTCAACATTCAATTAATTATTCCAAAACTTTATAAGAAAAAAAAAAGATGCTAACTATTCTATATAAATTACAAGGATGGATGTATAGTGGTTGTACAAAATAAAGAAATCACTGAAAATATAGATTAATTCTATAGCAATACTATCATTTACACACATTAGAAAACACTATACCTGAAATATGCATCTTCAAAATGCTACAGTAAGTAACTATATAAATTGAGGAGATGCTATATACAAAAATAGCTTCAAAATATATCCTATTTTCAGTGATATGTCACCCTCACTTTCATAGAAGTCACAAAATATGTCATTCGAAAATACATTGAGTGTGGATCATTAATTACCAACATTGATCTCTTTCTGATCTACAGTATATTATAATGACAACTTACATTTTATATTATATTCTAAAATGTTTATAAAATTTCCAACACTGACAATAAGCAACTTTGGTAACGAGCATCATATGGCTTGGTTAATGATGCCACAATTATTATCACAACCTGAAAAGCATCATCAATATACAACACAGTAAAACACAAAGAACATTTTGACTAATTCTTGAACTTTAGAATATCATTGGTCGGGTCACATCTGCACTACAGAAACATTTGTTTTGCTAAGAAGCTGCAGCCATGAGCCACATTTGGACTTATGGGTCATTTTACTAAGGTCAACATGGAATAGTTTCCACTGGCTAATGTGTTTAGGGGTGTTTATTTAGACCTTAAAACATGAAGGTTAACTTAAACTTTAAACTACTTTATTGAGAAGAAAGAATTATTTTAAGGAGCTAACATATGTATACATAGGAACACTTCTGTGTTTTACCCTGCAGTACAATAGGAAGTACTTGTGTATTTTGTCCTATACCAAATAGGAATGTTTTTCTATACATATGTACATACCTGTACAGTATACAGTACTGTATGTATATGGTTCGGCAATTACCAATGGAAGAATTAAATACTTTGTGAAGATTTTATGTGCAATGTACAGTTAAGCAGTGTGACTTTAAAACTCCTGTGTGGAAAGTGTAAGTTTTTATTACAGTATTTCAAAATGTCAACGTTTCATTTTATAAATTTTCCTTTCGATTTCTTTGCATCTAAAGTCATTAACATAACACATTTCACAGATGGGTCAAATAAATTTAATATTTTTTTTATTGCTCTTACATATTATATTGTGAAGCAAGTGGATGAAATTAAAATAATTTTTGTTTCGACTCCTAAAATTATGCCTATTTTCTAAATTCTCTCAGCATCACAAATGGCCAATATACTATTGGTAGTACAGAATACGAAGATAACCATGATTTTCTAAAAAAATATTTGCTTTTACTGACGACAATAATTAACAAAATTTAATAATGAAAACAAAAACACAGCTTGAGCAGTTTATTCTTAAGAGTTTTATTTGTGAGACTTCTCGGGTCACTTTGTATATCAAAATTTATCTGATTACTCTTCCAATATTTGTATACCTTAATACAAATTCTGAAGGTACAATATGTGCTTTATACAATGTTTGTCCTTATAATAAAAACTTATTTTAGCTAATTCCACATTTCAAATATCTCTCTCTCTCTCTGTATCCAGGGTTCGATTCCTGACTAGTGAGCTATTGTTTGTATACAGTACTGTATTGAAGTCAACGTGTATATGGATTATTGATATATATACAGGTAAACCTTGATAAATTATGATTAGTTCAGATATATTCCGCTTTAACGATGGTCATGAATTAAGATCATCTCGCTATATACGATAAAAATATTCGCTTTAACAATATCCATTGTTTAGAAGAAAAAAATTGATCTCTAGTGCTAACACTGGGTTGTATAATATGAAATTTATTGCTGTCTTGCAACGATTCCAGCAATGCAATTATATATGTCTATGTCAAATCAGTGACATTTTATAAGGAAACAATATTTAACTCTACGCACCATGCATGTCTCCCTTCACTTGTTAGGCCTACTCGGACGATGCCACAAGGCCAACCTGTGCACTACAACCCTGCACTTGGTTTTTGTCGATCGTAAAACCACCATCGCATTGCTCCATGCCTATCAGTCAGTGTCGTACATTGTATTTATCATCGGTGTTTTGTTTTTCTTATAGTGAGGTGGACAACACTAACATTTAGATTGAACTGTGCTATGATGACTGTAAAGTGATATTTTTTGTGACTGAGGTGCTTCACCTCTGTTGTGAAAATGATGTGAGCAGTGTCGGCCTCTATCATTGTTTTTATGTTATCATCGTTTGCTCTGTTTTTGTGTCTAGTGCTTCTGCTCTATTTTTGTGGCTGATATGAGCAGTGATCTTTGATAATGTCTGGGAAGGCCAAGGCATCCAAGACAACCGTGTATCTGGGGTGAAGCTTGACATTGTGAAGTAGCATGAGACTCCCCAGGGGCTGTGTGGCAGTCAATGTGATGTTTCCACTCCACCTACAAGAGTCCCCTTAGCCTCAAAGGGGACATGTGGCTTGTTTTTCATGATGTGGTGAGTGTTATTAATCGTTTTCTATGATTTTATAAGCGTAGGAATTTTTTTGTTGGTGATACATGTGTGTGTTTGGCGACTGGCAGGGAATGTACCGTAACCTATTGAACTCCATGTTATAATGCTCCCTATCTATGGTATTTAACTTAGCTATAGGGTTTGAGGAACCTAACCCCATTGTTTATCGAGGTTTACCTATATAATACCACAATGGGAAAATTAATTTCCCTCTCTTTTATTTTTCAGGTGAGGGAATCACAACAAATGAATGAATTAACACTAGAGGAAAGAGTTACTTTCATATTAATGTACGGAGAGCTAAATGCTTCACAAAAGAATGTAATCGACAACACCCAGGCATGTGAATGTTGTAGATTAAAGCCTTTGCAACTGATTATTGTTTAGCTTTTTGGCTTTCCATACATGAATACAGTAGTATTAGAATCATTCTTTTTTCTCATGTTAATTTCTCTGACATCTTCATTGATTTGCTATGAATTCTATGGTGCTCGACTTAAGACACACCTAGTGTGTGTGTTTGTGTGTAAACATGACTGATACTATGGTATGACTCATAAATGTTCACTTTTTGGAGTTTCATTATGGCTATAGTTTATCACCTTTCCTTCATTCCTCCATAAGAAATATATATACCTGTATACCTGTACAGTACATGTTCATTACATATATATTGTGGACTATGTTAAACAATTTTTGTCATTTTTATTTGGAGTGTTTCACATTCAATCCTGCCTTGGTCAATTCTTCCATACAGCATCACAGTGATCTACATTAAACTAATTTTTCTCTTCACCACACAACATTTTTAGGGCCCCACACAGCATTCATCATATGCCTTGACCATGGCCTCCATTGTAGCAAACTATTTTGTGATTTGAAACTTTTTATCTAATTAGCTTATGTACCTCAGACACACCCACAGAGGAAACGGTTTGACCAATGTGATTCAATATCTGTGTTGAGAACTCTACAATGATTTTGTGCTACAGCTGATCAAACTTGGAATTAAAACCATTAAATTGATTCCATAGACAATTTATCCTTAATGTGAGAAAGTTATTTATAATATTCTTTGTTCATGAATGCTACTGCATACTGTATATCAGGTACTGTATATACAATGCATTCTCAGACAGATATGGGAAAAATCCTATTGTGTTCTATGCTGAATACAATAGATCAATGTACAATACAGTATTTTATTATACTGCATTTCATTTGTGGTTCTGTATATCTTGTATGCATTACCCTTATATTAAATAAGGCTACAAGTACACTCCTAACACAGCTGGTGATTTGCACAAGCATTTCCTCATTGCCAAGTCACTTGCCCTCTGTAAAGTAATGCATCACATCCAAAGTAACTGCTAGGTTTCTTCTCTCTAGTTCACTTATTTACACCATCTACTTATATACATAAAATGATGAGCAATGATTTACGATGATGTCTACAAACATGTAACTTAATACAGTGTGAATTATTTGTCTTTTCTGTCGTATCTTATAAATAAGCCAAATTGAAGTAATAAGTGGAATGTAAATGGGGATAATTATCATTGTTTCCTTAAACTTAGAATATAAACTTTAACATTTCTTTTCTTGATGTAAATATACTTTTAAATCACAGCTGAAAAATTCCAGTACAAGAAAAGCTGTTTTTTCTAATCAGTAATATCACAAAGTACTGTACAATTTAACTACTGTACTGGAATATATTTTCCTATTCTTTAATGTGTAATACCTCTGAGACAAACCTTCATTTTCCATATACTGTATATGTAAATGAAACTACTGGAAAAGAACTGCATAATCTAAACATGTTTTGACTATAGGGTATACAGTTATGTGAATTGGTGAAAAAACTACAACCGGGTGTAAGAAAAGAAGATCCATTTACTAACTGTTGTTTGTTCAGTCCTAACATCACTTTACATTCCAATAGGTTAGCACGAGTAAGTGTACCCTATTCAGCCTAACCTACTGTCATTCACCTTCTCTCTTAATAAAATTTGATCTTTGCTATGTATTATTTTGTCACTTGTAAAATGATAATTACCTTTAGATTGTGGTACTTGCCTTGTGGTGGCCTCTCAACACCCACTTGCATTTTTCCTCTGATCAACAGTAAATGACAGGATAGGTAGAAGGAATAATCTGATTTCCTTGTTTAAGATTTTCCCCTAATTCTATACGAGTTTTAGCATTTGTTAGTAGCATATGCCAGTTGTCAGTACGTATATTGAGCATGTGCACCACTAAAAAATAATTTCCACTGAGAAGCATTTTAAGTTGTGTGAAGTATTGCAATGAGATCTAAAAATTGTCATTGTGGTGTACAAAATGGTGACAGTACAGGTATTGGTAAAAAAAAAAAAATATACTGTATATTTATTCAGGAACTAGCTAATTTATGGAAAACATGTTACAGTCAATAAGCTGCTACCTTCTTCATGAGCCATCCTAATATCAGCTAATTTGAATGGGGAGGGCTTATGTTCTGTCTTTCTTCAAGAATTTTATTTACCCATAGTGGTTGCACTTGAAGCATTTGTGTGGTGAAGTTCAGATACACAGGGTGTCTCAAAGTCCCCATACTCAAAGTTTGGCGATTTATAGTAGTTTAATGGCTAACGATAGCCATCCGTGGTTTCACGTGGCACATGCTGGCAACGTCGCAGAAGATTGCTGAGTAATGAACCGGTCACGTGATTTTGCCCCCAGGCCCCGATGTGGGTCAGTGATCTATGCCTGGGTGGGCTAATCCCTGTAAAAAAAAAAAAATTGCTTCACAAAAAAACTTTCGGTTTTCGGAATTTCGGATAAAGGGTTGTCAACCTGTATATATATATATATATATATATATATATATATATATATATATATATATATATATACATACACAGTATATATACACTGTACTGTACTGCATATATACAGCTCCTCCCCGACTTACGACGGGGTTAGGGACCCAAATCCAGGTTGTAAGTCAAAATGGTCGCAAGTCGAAAATGTTTAAATAATACATAGAAAATCTAAAATGGGTGTCTCTTTTTCTTGTCAGCACCACAAAATTCACACTTTTAACCTTGCCAGCCATTTTAAAGTGAATTACAAACGAAATTTTGTCTGTGTAATGTACTGAAGTTGGGACTTGAAAATGCGTAATTTGAAAAAATTTTGGTACGACTGAGGCAGGTCGTAAGTGCGGGTGGTCGTAAGTCGATTGGTAATAAGTCGGGGAGGAGCTGTACTGTATATAGTATACTGTATTTAGTATTGTGCTTTCAATGTTTTTGCAGATTATGTTCCAGGGTACGGTTAGCCAGAGTGGTTAGCGAGTTGTCTGGTTGTCTTGGATTTTACCTCAACTCTGGGCAATACAATACAGTACTGTATAGTGCTTTATTCACTGTGTTGCTCAAATTTTTAAATAATTAGTTTGCCCGTTCAGAAATACGTATACTGTATAATCTATAAGATAATTTGAAAATAATTCATAAAAGTATTAGTTCAGGTATACCCAAAAATAGCGGTCATCGTGGATTTTGAAGATGCCACATGTTTAAAGGTCTTTTTCTTTCTGATATTAAAACTATTTTAATCATCGCCCATGAAAAAGCGGGCACAAAGAAAAAAAATATCAATTATTACTCGTAAATATCAATTTTATAAAAACAAACAAACAAACAACAACTAAAATTTGGGGGGGTGGGGGCGGCATCTTGGATTTTTGTGTCTCATATTAATTCTGGAGAAATCTAAGAGGTCTCCTAGGCTAAAATTATTAGGTAGAATGTAAAGAAACTCCATGCCAAATTTGGTGCTTTTGTCCGCCATGTTACAATAACTTCACTACACTACCATACCAATACCAGTGCTGTTACCGCATATCCAAATGAATTAGGCTAAAAGATTAACCCTGGCTGATGGTAGAGGCCCAGTCCAAAAACTCCTGGAATACTAGTAAGTTGACCTGACTGCTTAAAACGACAGCCAGAAAAAAGAACTGGAGCCAATTTTTATGAAAATTTAAGATCAATATTTCATACTTATTAACTCAGGAAATAGTTATTTAGTGCCTATTGGATATAAGTGATTCTGGTTAATTTCCATTCTGTTGCATCATGTCACTTAACTGAGTAAATCAATATATAAAATTTATTTCCTAAAGAAAGTAATACTTTCTTTATGAAAAAACAAAACAAAAAAATCAGAATGAAATGCGAGATTTATTACATATATAAAATATGACTGAAATTACTTATTTCAATACAGATTTGCATTAAAGTGAAATTCTACACTTTATATTAATATAAAAAAGGATAACAATGTACAAAAGACACAGTACACTTTCCATTGCAATCTATGTGTGGTACTTCTTCCCCATGCCCTTATTATAGGTAATATGGTAATTTTGATTTATCACAATCATTCTGAATAAAAGTTAATTCCAAGAAATCAGAGTTCAATCAATATGTGTAGATAGAAAGAGGGAGGAAGTAGGGGGATTGAGTACCTAGAAAACATTTCTTCAAATAAATTTATATAATCTACAGGTGAAAGTTATGTCTACAGGTAAGAGCTGTGTCTGAGTGAGGGTTGTATGTTTAGCCGGGGCTTCTGAATGCTGTGAGTGTTTCACTGGTACAACTAAGATACTGTACGTTGGGTTGAAGTATTTAACTGAACCCACTATTGTATTCTTTCCGTACTCTTGTTTGATTTTAGGCCATGCAATTTAACGTTTAGTTTTGTAGATTCTCCTGGATACCAATTTAAAATTTTGAAGAGTATATAAAAAAATTAGAATGACACAATGTTTCCTTTTTTTTAATAGTCCAAGGTGAAGTGGCCTTGGCTCCTGTAGCAGGATAAACCCTCAAAATGCATTCACATCATAAAAATAGAATCCTTTTTACTAAGTTCTGTATCCATCCCTGGGGTAATATCTGGTGAGTAGGACTGTCTCAAGGACTGTTCTTTAGGTATTAATTGTGTCTGCGGGTAAGAAATGTATCTGTAGGACTGTATCTTCAACAGCAGGATGTGTCTTAGAATGACTAATGTATCATTAGGAGAGGGTTATGTCCTCATCTAATTTGTTCAATTAAAAAAAAAAATTATATTCTGTATTGTATTTTAAAGCTACTGTATTAGTCTGCTGTACAGCCTCAAGTATTCACTTGATCTTCTGATTTAGAATAATCTAGAGACTCTCCATTCACCTGCTGGGGGCTGGCAGCTTTCCCCACCAGATAGTATGTCATCAGTTCACCTTTGCCCTTCACAGCTATAAGACCTCGCTGCTCAAACACATAGCCAAAGTGCTGGAGTATTTTGGTGGTCTCCTCTGTCACCTGAGGATAAAAAATTAATAAGCATACAAATATGATTTCAGTGATTTTCTATACTATAGTACTTTAGATCAGAAGTTATGAAAACCACCATCTGACTTCTAACTACTCATCAACTGTATTTCAAAGATTTATAAAAACATTAATTAAAAAGGAAAAGTTGAAGAACTGAAGCATGAAGATCTATTTTATAGCACGGGGAAGAGGCAAGAGTTTACCACCCTAAGCATAACCCGCCAATGGCAGGGGACTGACCTGTCTAGCGGCAGGTTACACAAACTTTATGGTTTGTGTAATCACGTGTTCTTATAGTAATCTAAATGACCATACATTGATCAAAGTGACCCATTATTGTTCCAAATGAATCTGAATAAGACTCACTACACTATCAAATTTATGAAAATTCTGAGAATTAGCCCAAACACTCATTTTAAGTAGAACTACCCAGATGATTCACCGGTAGATCAATAAAGGGCTGCCCAAAGGAGTTATATACAGCAGTAATTCTGAAAGGAAAACATGAGGAGTGACACATAGGCTTTCTTATTTATACCAACTAGTGGTTTGAGATGTTGACAAAGATTCAACATTGAATGTAGTACTGTATATTTGGTGCAGGTGAACCATCCAGCAGAGATATTCCTGGCAAACCTCACGTGTTGCAGGTTTTCAAAACAGCCATTATGTTATATACTGTACATGAATACGGGCCATTTCTCCAACCTGGGTTTGATGGGTGAGTATCTGTATTGCAGTAATGACAATAATGTGTGAGGGCAATGTAAACTGGAGCTAAACAAACCAGTCCCCTGGTGGCAGCGGGCTGTACAAGTACTAAAGGATGCTCTAATTGGCAGAATTTCGTATGTTACTCACTGATGATCCACAGGTTGTAAAAAGACTTGTACTCTACAACACTGGAGATTGTCAAGTTTCTGACTATCATACTAATGGGAATAATACCTAATTACCATACATCTCCATCCACGAATATACACTAAAGTATGACCTTGGTTACTAATGATATGACTGACTGATGACTGTTAAAAAAATTATCATCAAAGAGTAGAAACAAAAAGATGACAAAAATGTATATGTAAGCAACAAACATAATGTGACACTGGACAAAATAAAGACTGTAATAGGTGCTGACCTGGATGCAGCCTGCCTTGCCTGTGGACTCCATCCTGGAAGCCACATTGACAGTGTTGCCCCAGATGTCGTAGTGCGGCTTACGGGCCCCGATCACTCCTGCCGTGATGGGCCCATGGTTGATGCCTGCACAACATTATCGACAATAAGAAAATGAAAAGGAGAGGCTTGCATTATATTAATATTTAAAGCTTATTTTAAAGACATCAGGCATATGCTTTTCATTACGGCCAAGGACAAGGCATGATTTTGGGGATATGTTTAATGAATTTATTAGAGAATTTGTGTTTGTATTTTCTGGCTTGCAGCACACAAACACACACACAGATGCACACACACACACACATACAGGTATACAGCACACACTGGCACAGTCATAATTAATGGAGAGGAGATTTCTAATTCAGTTTCTGTACATGAGTGGGAATGAAAAACAGCTCACCTTCCTCAAAACATAAACACAACTACAGTACTATCAAAGAATAAGAAGTGATTCACTTCTAACAGCTAAATAATCAACATACAACTTTAATTTTTGTTATTATGGTGAAGAATTATAGTTCAAGATATCTTAGATTTTTTAGGTAGTTCTTAAGTTAGGTATCCAACCTGTACTGTATATACAAATCCTCATCCAGTTATAGAAGATGAATTAATATTGAATTAGGTGGGCTAGTGGCACCATAACAAAGACTCAAGAGTTAGTACATAAAATCTTGATTGGCCAAATGCTTGTCCTGTTGTCTTTTGAAGGTTGATCCAATTGGAAACGAGACCACCAGCTCAACACGCAATGAGAAGATGTTATGCTACTGTCTGGTCTATGCATTTATCACGAATAGCTCAAACCTGTGACCTTAGTAAAGTCATTGTGTTGTCTTGGTCTCAAGTATGTTTCTTTATGTTATTAGTCTTTAATCATTGTGAAAATCTTGATCATATCAGTAGGAAGTCTACGTTAACAGTCGATGAAATCTTAAGCATTTTCAGACGGTCTATATTACTTGAGTTTCTTAAAATTAATACTATTTTTGTCACACTTCACTCATTTCTTATTACACTTCTTTACACACTGAAAAGTTCATACTAAAGTACACACATTTCATATTCTGTTTGTTACATAAATACCATAATTCCCCTAAATATCTCACATTACATTATAATCCATTTTCTACTCCTACTCTCAACCCTTACTAGTTGCAGCATTGTTTTATGGGTATTACACTTTTTATATCTTCATCAAATTCTTTTTAATATAATGTCTATAGTCTCTACCTCAGTTCAGACTTTTATGTATTTCATGATATGCAGAAAATACCCTTTATTGAGCCACATCCACAATATGGCATTACAGTACTTAAAGAGGCAATAAGTTGTTCCCTAAAGCAGAAAATTAATAGCAATAAAAGTCTTACCTGATGATAGTGTAGTAGCATTTGTAACAGTGTGGATAAAAATTACTATCTGCCTACAAAATCCCTCAGTCAACATCCTTTAATATTAATATTTTAAGAGATAACCTGGTTTAAGTATCTGGGATAGTGGACTAACCCATCCTTAGGACGAAATGGTTGAAGGATTGTTCATTGATGGACTGTAGAGCTCTCACTAATTCAAAAGCGAAGTCGACAAGCAGAGCCAGGTGCGCCCATCTGATCTTCACTGGGTCATCCTCCTGTTTAAAAAATGAAGAAAAAAAGAATAGGACGACCTGAGCCTTGAAGATTCATTTTAAAGCTGAATGAAGAGGAGTATATAACCTGTGAAACTGTCTTCCTCTCACTAGATAAAAAAACATGGATAACCATCAACCTCGTGTGACAATGATCTTGTTGACATTCTTCGTCAACAACGCATGAGTAGAAATATGGAAAGTTTGTGTTTCTCAGGTCATTGTGTAAAAACTAAGCTAGCTCTGTGAATCTAAGTCACCACATATAACCTAATCTATACTTACACTCTAAAATAGATGTGTCACCTTATACGTAAGGGTGTAAACTGTAAAGTGAACTCATAATATCTCTGTAATCAACACAGCCCTCATGAAGTAGAGTAAAATATAGCAGCACTCCAGGAAAATAGATTAAATATACAGTAGTAAAATATAAAATAGGCTCAAATAAGACAAGCTGAGACTTAAAGTAAAAATTGTCAAAGTCTGCATTGGCTGACAAAAAGATGCAACATAATTAGAATTGTTAAATACTGATGACTTTATAGATCTATACAATAGACCCTTGCCATTTGCGGGTTTGCTATTTGCGATTTCAACGATTCGCGGTAAGCAGATGGTGGCGAGCTTACGAGCCTTTTTCTGCGGCACAACGAGTCACCCCACGCGCCTGCAGCATCTCCTCTCCCTCTGTTCGTGCTCAACCATTGCCTGTGATGCAGCATCTCGTGTTGTACTCAAAACTTTACTGTTTCTGTGTGAAATGGCCCCTAAAAGACCGCCTAGTGTCAGTGCTAGTGATGCTAGTGGAGTGAAATGTAAAAGGCAGAAGTCAGTGATGACCCTGACAAAGAAAGTTGAATTATTAGATAAGTTAAAAGAGGGGATGATATAATGCCGTGGCTGGTTGGTTGTTTGATATAGGTATACAGTAGTGCACTAAGGTAGTATAAGTTGCTATTCGCAGTTTTGCCTATTTGCACCATTCCTTGGAACCTAACCCCTGTGAATAACAAGGGTTTACTGTACATGATATAGTAGAATGGAAAATAATTATAGGTTGCAAAGATGCTTGACTGATTCCTGTGATATAAGAAAAAGGCTCCTAAGTGAAAGTGGGTTCCATAGGTATGACTATCCATTAGGGACACTATGGATGCAGCACACGGTATATACTAAGCCTTCAGTACACAAGGAGGTAGCATGGCCAGTTCTGCACTCAACTGCATTCACTTCACCAAGCTGTAATCTTAGGTACCCATTTACAGCTGGGTGAACTGAGGGTGCCTGGGGATCAAACCACCACTTGACTGCAGCACTCTAAATAAAACTTGCATGTTCAGAGCTGCTCAATGATCAGAAAATTCTCAAAGCAAGACTTAAATACTGAGGTGAAGAATTCTTTAGAATTGGATGAAGGACTTCCTTACATATTGCCACACATTTGTATTGGAAGTTTTAAATGAAACAGCAAAGTTTACCATGCATGAAGTAGCTCCCATTAAGTGATTGCAATAAAAAAGCCGTTTTTTTCTAAAAAACAGTTTTTGTGATATAGCTCGAATGCGACGTCAGCAAATGCTACCTAGGTATGTTAATTCCTAACCAATTCGCCAGGCCAACATATAGGCAATTAAAACATCTAATAATTACTCAATAAGTAATATTAGGAGGACATGTCGCTACCTTGCATTTAATTAACCTCATTTATGTTTTAAAGCTTAATTGGAGGAGCATTCCAACTAAACATAACGTGACGACAGTATTATACCTTTATTTGCAATACAGATTGTTGTTTAACTCATATTTATACTGTATGCAGGTATATATATATATATATATATATATATATATATATATATATATATATATATATATATATATATATATATATATATATATATATATATATATATATACAGTAGGGTATGCTATAACGAATGGATTCTACTACGAATATTCCTATAACGAACGGTTTTACCTATAAAATTGAGAATGCAATAACGAACGAAACTCCTACAACGAACAGTATTTTTTATTTTATTTTATTTTTATTTTTTATACTAATTTATTGTTTTTTATTACAAGTATTAATGATATATTCTTTATTTCAGGAGTTTAGATGCATATTTATGCACTTTTTTACAATTTTTACAATTTTATATTATATTTTTCAGTGTTAAGTGGTTGTATTTGGGGGCCTGGAACGGATTAATCCTATAACAAACGAATGCTATAACGAACAAGGTTCTAGAACCAATTAGATTCGTTATAGCATATATATAGCATATATATATATATATATATATATATATATATATATATATATATATATATATATATATATATATATATATATATATATATATATATATATATATATATATATATATATATATATATATATATATATATATATATATATATATATATATATATATATATATATATATATATATATATACTGTATATGGTGAAAATAATACAGTTTATCATCACTCAACAAGGTCATGATGGGAATATTTTGTCACATTAAGTTAAGTGGTTGGGGCGATGGTCAAATGCTCGTGTTGACTGGTTGGTGGTCCTGCCAGCTCCTTCCTTACCTTCACTAGTCTGGAGGGGTTCAGGCCACTGGCCGCCATATACGTAGATCCAATCGTCTTGATTTTGATGATATCATGGAACTGTGCCAGCTCCAGCAACTGTAGGAAGAGTTTGTTATTAATGGACATGCTCCTATTTTCAGATGTCTGATGTCACTAGTAATGCCTATCTTTAACAACAACTACATTATTACCATTTGTACGTTGTTTAGTGTATCCTACTATTACCTTACTTGTCCTCATGTTTGGATAACATTATAATGGTGTACTCGATTCTGTTTAAACACTCCTAACTCAGACCTACATCAACTATATGAGCCCTAAGTCAATTTTCTGGTCACTTCCGCCATCACCCACCCAACCACTCATATCATTCATGTCAAATTCAACAACCATCACTATTCATCTGGCAACAAGTACCACCACCCACCTGGTCAAAGTCGGAGATGACCTCATTCAGGAAGCGTAAACACTCCAGCCCCTGGTTGTTGACTGATTCCTCTGAATAGAAGTCTGTTAAATAAAAGTTTATTATTGCATAGTTATTTTTTATATAAAGATCTCAGCATCATTAACTCCATCTACATGAATTGTTTGAATAAGTTAACATTTCTAAATCTAATCTTATTATCCACGGTGTGTGTAGGAGATGGGCAGTGTGTGTGTGTGTGTAATGTAGTTAAACGTGATTTTTTTCCCAGAAATTTGTGTGACAACTACAGTACAACCCATGGGCTGAATTATCATGAAACATGTATAAAGTAAGGGTTTAATTGTACGTTAATGGACAGTGAGTACACGTATCATCATGTTACACGTATACAACTTTACAAAATACTCGAAGTCCTCTTGATGGGACCTTCCCGTACCTCCAAAGTTTGGCATAGAGGCGAATAGCACGCCGATCTCGTCGTAGCTCTGAGAGTAAAGTTCCTCGTGCTTCTTCCTCCTGATGCCCATAAAGTGTGTGGCGACATGCTGTGGTAAGATGTTGTACACCAGCGCCTCGTTCCTCTGTCGGATGTCTGCCGCCCTCTCCCGCTGTTCCTCCACCTCCCGCCGCCACAGGTACAGCAGCCGCGACGTTTTCTCAGTCTGTAGGGAACACACACGCCTCCACTATTTACTAACATTAATATATTACTACTCATTTACTTTCATACAAACTTGAGTCTGTCTGTCAGCGCAAAACAAAGCATTAAACACAAAGAAACACTCAAGAAACCCCAGATGTAAGGAAGAATAAACTCAAAATAAGAATCTGGAGTGTGGCTTCATTATTAAGATGGTGCGAAGTTTACAAATGTCAGCAGGGAGATGGATAGCTTGTAGTGGGATACTGTACACTATTCTGAGATAGTGAAGTAAGATGGGTAGGTTTCGATAGATTAGTGGATAAGAATAATTAAATGATATACAGTAATAACATATTGATAGATAGCTAGATTGATAGATTGATAGATAGACAGACAGACATAGATATATATATATATATATATATATATATATATATATATATATATATATATATATATATATATATATATATATATATATATATATATATATATATACACACAGATATATGTGTCTTCAGCCTTCATAGGGTGAGGACGTCGGCGCTGCCCGCTCACGTGGCTGTGGTCTTTTGACCATGGAGATTTATTTTGCCGCTTACAGCGGCTACTTTATTGTGCATCCCACACTCATCTTGTGAGCGGTAGCGCAAAAGGATTTCAGAGTAGTTTACAACGGGTCATAATAATTAACCCCAGTTGTCAGGATATTATGGCACTGAATGTTACACGACAGCTGCCAGCCCGGTTTATCGGACCCTTCCCCTTCCCCATCTCCTCTTCCCCATCTGGATTTATCAACATCCTCCCACCAACAGTATAGTGTAAAGATTGACGATCAACCCACAACTGATATACAAAAGTAGCAATTTCAAGTCGAAACAAAGAAATAACTGTTTGAGTGACAATCGTGCATAGCGGTCAATGTTGACCTGACGCAGACCCGACACACCCAGGGTCCGCCGTACACTCACCACCACCAGCACTGGATGAGAAGCCAAGAAAGACTCCAAACTACATCAGGAAGGAAATAAGGACCCCCTACTCCACCCAGGTGAGGAACAATGACTTCCTAACCACATCACGTGGTGGTTGTCCTAAACATCTGCAGCTGTAGTGAGGTAACGGATTAGCACCCAGGTGTCGTGGGCACCATCAGGTTACAAGATTATCTACAAGACCATCTCCCACAGTACCAGATCTATAGTTAATCTGTATGTTGTCTCTATGTTTCTTATATTTTTTGTGTTGAAAGCTCTTGTCAATCAAGTGACCCATTCCCCGATTTCACCATATGTAACTTATCATCTCTGTTTATTGTATATTTTCAGCCTTCGGGCTGCCATGTTATTTTAATAAACCGTTAATTATTAATATATTTTATTATTATTATATAGCTTATATTGTTCTTTTTCCCTTTCTATATCTATTTTGATTTTATTCTACTCAGGTCGTTTGACCTGTGCCCGGGTGGGCTAATTCCCGTATAAAAAAAAAAGAAAAAAAAAAGAACTGGGTGCACTCTAAGGCTCCTGGCATTTTAGGTAAAAATGCAAATCCTGATTTTTCGAAATCACAGAGAAGGTCTTTCAAGTTCTATACAGTATATAGTTACATATTTTAGTCAAATATTTGATCCCATTCTTGCCCATTTGTCTTATAAATTCTTCTGGAAGCTGATCAATCCCACAAGCTTTAACACTTTGCTCACAGCTGCTTCAACTTGTTTCCAGAATTGGCATTTCGATCTTTATTTCCTCTTTGTTTCTTACCTTTACTTTACCCTTATCACTATATAGTTCTATGTACTCTGCCCCCTCTCTTTTATTTCTGTTTCAAACAAGATCTTATTGTCTTTGCCTTTAATAGTCCCACCCCATTTAATTTCCTTTCTCTTGTTCATTTGTTTAATCTTTCTGTACACTTCCCCATAATTATGCCTTCTGTCATCATCTTCAATCTCTTTGTATTCTTTTCTAGATCATTGTTCTTGGTCTGTCTGCATTCCCTTTGAATTTCGTTGTTAATTTTAATGTGAACCTCACTTCGTTTTCTCACATTTCTTTAAAATTTCATTTGTCATCCACTCACTTTAACCCCACTCCTCCTATGTCCTCCAAATTTTCCCCTTTGTAATTATTAAATTGTTTTCCTGGTCATTGTTCACCAAAGTTACTCCCTAGCAATACTGAAATTCTATTTTTGGTTTCAATTTCAATATCAAAGATCAATTCGTTTGTAAAAATAATTTGGAGGCAAAGTTCTGTTTATAATTCAGGCCTTGTAAGCATAAGGCTTTAAGATGTAAAAGTTAGGTAGATATTAACACCATATACTGTACAGTACAGTTCTATAAATCAATGTTTTATTATAATAACCAATGTTTGAATTCAATAAAATGCAATATAAAATAATGTTCACAACTTACAGACGTCATACTACAAAATAGTATAAATAAATGTTTCAAGGTTTAATCAAACGATTACCATAATTTAGTGTGCATGCGTGTCTGAACAACTGACCTGTCTGTTGAGGGCGACGAAGAGGACCGTGATGAGACACAGCTCTAGGGAGAGAGACAGTCGGTCATGGCCAACCCTGGTGAAGGAAAACCCACAGAGTTAGTCAGCTCTCTCACTATCCTCAACCTTCCATTAAGGATCATTGGTTATACCTATTATAAGTATCATAAAGTCTTTGTATACATTTTGATACTACCTTTTAAGACCATACTTCACAAAATTCTAGGAATACTGTCAGTGTTGGGGGTCTCCAATTACCTTAAATGCACTTTCCTTTTATCTGTTGGGATATCTGACACCATGGTACAAAGAAATTGTGGTGTGGTATAGTCAAAACATTAGCTTTTACGATGATCAGATAAAATTTTTGCAAGTTGTGAAGGTTTACATAATCGCAAGCAGTGTGTGGTGATTAATGGCAAGAAATCGTTATGTGTGACAAGCGGGGTACAGCAGGGCAGTGTATTGGGTCCATTGTTGTTTGTTTGTTTCATAAATGACATGCCAGAAGCTGATTAATGGCAAGAAATCGTTATGTGTGACAAGCGGGGTACAGCAGGGCAGTGTATTGGGTCCATTGTTGTTTGTTTGTTTCATAAATGACATGCCAGAAGCTATACACTCCTCCATACAAATGTTTTCAGATGATGCCAAGTTATTTAGGGAAATTAAGAACCAAACACACTGTGGATAGCTCACCCCACAAGGGGTCAAAGCTCAAGATTGAAGAAGCCGCAAGTCCAGAAAACTGTGAGGGCAAACTTTTTCGGAGTGAGGGTTGTGAACTCTTGGAACAATCTACCAGAAAGTGTTGTTACGGCACCGAGTGTGAGCTCTTTCAAGACAAGACTTGACCAACACTGGAGCGGGTTCAGGTACATTGAGGAGCCGGTGCATGCCCAGTACTTGCTAACAGTGCATAACAGAGACGTGACCGATCGCCCAAGCGGCTAACGAGCCGATCTTTTGGTGAAGAGGACAAAAGAAAAGGAAAAGTAATCAGAGACGTGACCGATTGCCCAAGCGGCTAACGAGCCGATCAGTGGTGAAGAGGATAAAAGTAAAAAGTAAAAGAGGATGCGCCTTGGACATACCAACGGTAAGGAGGCGTATCATATGTCCCAACGGGATGAAGAAACTGCATTAATAGTGACTGAATGCGAAAATGACCTGGGTGTGAATGTTGTCGATGGGAGAGGAAAAAAATAGATTGATAAGACCATTTGTTGTCACCCTGTGTATATCTCACTTAAGTTATAAAGGGAATTTAAATACAGTAAAAGGTGTATAGTATTAACCCGTGCCCCTCTATGCTCACTCTTACCCCCCTTCCCAACATCCAAATTTGAGTAGAAATCTCAAGATTATATATCATACCTCTTATAATGGATGAGATACGTTTTTGAGGCTGTTCCGTTAAGCGAAATACTTTATCCGTCAAAAGAGGCCATTATAACACGGTGCTTATGAAGACATGTTCTTGCTTATAACGAAATTAGTCAAAATTATAAATTAATCCCTTTAAATACTACTATTTTCTTACAGAATGACAATGATTAAATGTGCCAAAATAGTGTACTTAGAAATACAGTAGTCGTGTACCATCTTACGCGCATTCAACCTCTTGGCTTACGAAAAAAAAAAAAGACAGTGAGTGTAAGGCTAGGGGAGATAATGACATATGCACCCCCCATTTCAGCAGGGAGTATTTAGGAGAAAGCTTTTGTGTGTACACGTGTACTGTATTTTCCACCTGTAGCCATAGTGTTCTTAAAATAATAAATACAGAATCAGTAAACGTGAGGAATAAAAAAAAAAAAAAAATACTGTGACTGTATTGCCAAACCAACAAATAAAAGTCAATTGAAAGTTTAACACAATTGCCATTTGTATACACTCCCTGCCCACCATAGCAACGCAGCAGGGACACTACCTCTGCCGTCTCTCAAGTAATACTTCCCCCTACAATTTGTGCCCTCCTCCCCTCCCTTACTGAGTCAGCTAACTCGTGTGCAAAGAAATGTATATTCTCTTTATGTGTTTGCCCTCATGACACATATATTTTTTTTAACAAAATGTATGTAGGAAGGTGTGTGCATTTAAATGAGTACAAATAAATAAAGAAAGTTATGTATAACTACCCGAAAATATGAGTTGAAAAACAACCATAACACCTCTCAGCTTGGCCCAATAGCCTGGTGGTTAGTGACGAGTCTATCTTGGCTACAATGCCTCCAGCGATGTTAACAGACGCAAATGTGAAGAGAAAGTTACTCTTTCTGTAAATTTAATTTTTGTCATAGTGATGGAAGACATAACTACAGTTATCATTCTCTTGCAGTACCAGATAGTGAGCAACAGCTGGTGTTGTGGACAGCTGGTGTTAGCTCTCTTACAACACCAACCAGTTACCATCTATGGTCGTCTACACATGAAAAACTTCTGGATCAACTTGTATATATTTTCAAAATCGCTGGCGGCTCCTGGCGGCGCGGTCGGGCTCAGGTAGCGGGTTCACCCACGGTCTGTGGCGTGATAGTTAGGGCCAATTGCAAGAACGGTTATGGGGTGTACGGAGCCATTTACGATGACCTTCTTGCCCTGGTCTTTTTTCAGCAATATCGCCTTTAACAAATGGAATTCTGCACTTTTCGAAGCTTTGGAGGAGTCTCGAAACAAGTTTGCTGGTGGGAATTATTAGCTAGTGCTGTACTCAAAATATCGAACTTCGAGATCTCTCCAGAGCTTCAAAAGGGTGGTATAACTGAAACAAGATCAGGGCAAGGTCATCGTAAATGGCATCGTACACCCCACGACTGTTCTTGCAATTGGCCCTTACTTGTGGTTCAAAGACGAGTGGAAGAGACCTTGGCTGGTGATTAAGACTGGTGAAGAAAATCTAGACTGGTGATTAAGACTGGAGAAGAAAATCTAGACTGGCGAAGACAATCTTGACTGGCGAAGAAAATCTTGACTGGTGACTGAAACTGGTCGTGAGAGAGTTTTCAACTTGTACATATATAATGAAAGAAGCTTGTGTTGATAAGTTATAGGCCTACTTTTTCAGTACCAAATACTCATAGGACATATAGTACTGTGAAAGTCGTAACAGTGAGTAACAGCATAAAATGCTTTATCATGTGAACATCACCAATTATCACAGTTAAAAAATCTCGTGCACCAGTCATCTCTTATGGATGTCTTTGACGGAGGAGACGCGCACCACCACAATGACTGAACTTTACAGGCCCTTTTCCCACGAGTAAGTTTTTTCTTTGAAAACATTTGAAGCATGCATTTATTGTCCGACGTTGACGCTTTTTACTTTTGTTTTGTTCAGCATTACGATGGCGAAAAATTTTGAGACTGTTTTTACATTTAACTTTGGCAGTTGATAATTTAAAGTGATAAATATTTAGAAGTTGCTAACACCTACTTATAGACTGATTCTTATACAGTAAAGCGAGAAAGAGAAAAAACTAAAAATAATTTACGCTAAAGCATTTCCGCCAGAAATGGATGCTTTTCGAGTATTTTAACCGTAAAATTACCAACAATTTTACTTGTTCAAAGTGGGCAGGGTTTTGAAGTGGAGGGAAAATGTGGGGTAAAAAAAAAAACACACACACACACACACACACACACACACACACACACACACACACACACACACACACAAAACAACACTTAACAGCTCTTTGAAAACCTTAACTACCCTTTCCTAATGTGTAAAAATGTTAAGAATCACTTTTGGGTTTATGAATCCCTCCCCATCTGAGCACCAAAAACACCATCACATACTAAAAACCCAAAACAACACCATCATATACTAAACACCGAAAACATTAATAAGGTAAGGTTTTTATAGTTTTAGGACAGACCTATGTAATGAACAATAGCCTTTCTTTGTAAAACCACTGTGGGCATAAAAATGGGGGAGACTTATTAAGTAGTAAGTGGTGTGAAGTGTATGAGTCGTGATGGTGATGGCTGATAACCTGTTTCTTTGAGACCAACTTATCACTATTTTTTTTTACCCAGGTTCCACTTTCCATATCTGTCATTAGATATTCCAATGGTTTCAATGTTGTGTAATGGGCAAGTGATTGATGGATTTCTTTTTTATCATTAAATTTAACTGTGTTTCTTCATGTTTAATGTGTCACTTACCAATGATCACGGGGCACACAATATAATAAAAGTTACTGATATAGTGACTTGACATTTTGTAAACAATTTCAATTGACCGTTGCCTGAAATCTAAAACTTTTAAATATTTGTTTTAAAGTCATAACGAGAAGTTTACATATACCGTATTTATATTCCCACCACTTATGAAGTTACAATATGTTTACACAGTTCTCACTTGTGCAAATGGATGGTTACACAAATAGAGAAGGAAAGTTTGGAGAAAGTAGAGAGTTAGGTAGTTCTTACCTACAACAGCGAAACTATAAATTTCTATTTTTTTAAACGTGAGAATTTCTCACTTGCACCGATGAAATCTTATAGAAAATCTCACCCGTACAAGTGGAAGCTTTGAAAGAATTTACACCTGTATCAGAGTTTTTTTTAGAAAGAGTCCTCACCTGCTCAAGTGGAAACCTAATAAGAGTTCTTGCTTGTTAGGAAGAAAGCTGACATGTAAACTTCTACATGTAAACATTTGCACAAAGCTCTTACATCTGGCTATCAAAAGTGTTCCAGTCTTCAGCGATGTCGAGGCTGACCCTCATTATGAAGAGGTTCATGGAGCACTGCACAGCTACCACACCGACCATCACTGCACTCTTGATCATGAAGCTAACCTGCACATCACCACACATAATCAAAACAATGTTAAGTGATGCAAATATTAAAAAAGACTTTACTCAAATATTCACATGACTGATTTGTATTGCAATTATGTGGATCTTCCGTTAATATTGCAAAGTAAAAATGAAATTTCATCGGTCCTCCGTCACTCTTGACATCCCATGTGTTGCCAACCTGAGCCAGTAATGAGGCAGCCAACAGGATGAGCAGAGTGAAGTAGGAGTAATAAGCCGGGTGAAGACATATGAACGCCTCATCATCTGTGGCTGTGGTGGTGTTCTCCTGCGCAAGGATCACCCTCAGTGCCTGGTACATGCTGTGGCTGCTACTGCTGCTGGTATTGCTCATGATAGAGTCGTTGTGTGTGGCGGTGGTGAGCTGGGAAGTGTTGTCAGCAACGAAGCTCGAGAATGGTTTGTCGCACAGGTACTGTAGTGAGCGGAAGGGATGTTAGAGACGACTTAACAGAACACAAGAGAAGTAATACACTATTTCAATCTATTATTATTGTTGTGTTCAGCATTTATCCTTTTCCTTATGGCGTTTATAGTAATGCACTTAATGCTATAAATTATTTCATTGTCATATCAAGTATTGAATTACATTTACCTAAAGAGTAAGTGAATATTATTTTAGAACAGGAACAGTATACACAGTATTCATGTAAGTTAAAACAAAGAAAAACAACTTAAAGGATAATAATAATCAGGAGTCCGAGAAGGTGAAGCGGCCACAGACAAGAGTCTTAATGAGGTGATAGAGGAAACGGGGAGAACTTCCCACCACCTCTGACGAGAAAAGTTTGCATTTAAATCAGTCTGGGAGGAAGCTCCAGCACTCACTGTCGGTAAAGTTGTGTGTTAATGGATATCTATACAAGGATTAAATGATAAAAAAATCACTAAAACAAGTGAGGATTAAGTTATAGTAAAGTAGACAAATAAAGAAGGTTGAAGGTTTATGGGTTAAAATTAAGCCTAGCAAGGTATTAAGATTTAGATAAACTTGGTCAGGTGGGATTTACTCTTAATTAATTACTCAACTAATGGGATTTTAACCAGTGGAGTGTTGTCCGACGGGAATTTGTCTGGTCATTAGAAAAGATAGAGAAGAGAGGAGCTCACCATGTCCACCGTATTGGCGGCAGCGGCGAGGATGACCAGCGTGGTGAACCAGACGACACGCAGCACTACCACCGTGTGAACCTTGTCACTGGCCATCACCAGTACCTCACACACACGCTGTAATGATACATACACCTTGTTATGGCTCTCAAGCACACACACACTGTAATTATAAACACATTAAACGTTAAAAAAAAACCCCACATCTTTGGGTGAAGCATCAAGAGACATACACACAGTCACTTACTATAGGGAAGGAGCGAGCCGCAGACACCGAGGCCATGGTAGTGAGCAGGACCACGCCCACTAGGAACACCACCACGCCCCCACCAGCACTGAAACCAGTCACAGAAGAAATTAGTGTAAATATAACCCGTCATGTCAAGAGGTGGATAACTGTCTGTATGTTGACACTAGTTGTGAAAAAGTTCAGCATAAATTTATTCTCTGAGCAGTCATGTTTACATCAGGGCAGACTATATAATAGCCAACTTTTACGTGTGGCTACTGAGAGCAACTTATGGTATAGAAAACGGGACTAACCCAACACCCACTTTCAACAACCTAATCCATTAAACCAGCAGCTACGGGGGAGAAGCAAAGGGAGAGTCCGATGGCATTAATTAATTGTTTGTACAGGTTCCATAATATGGCTACGACATATGACAACTAATTCCCAGCTGTTATAGTGTTATAAAACCACATAACCTCAAGGGGATGAAAGAATATATGTTCGCAAGGTCGCCAGTACCACATTTCCAGCTGACCACTGGAAAAAGGTAGGCCGTCGTTCCATAATTCCCCCAAGGTTTCATGAAAAGGATATCGGTCAACTAAATCCGACTGAATTTATTTCCGGAAATTATTTAATCTCCTGACACAAGTTGGAAATACTGTCGACCACAGCAAGGATTCAGAGTTAACCTAATCAGGGAGAGGTGCCTATAACAATTCTCCTGTGGCATTTCCCTTTAACACCAAGGACACACTTCAAGCATAGAAGGACTGCTGGATTAACACAGTGCCTTCCAATCTCCATTCCACACCAAGGAAACAAGATACTTAAGGAAGTCCTGAAGTACCTGAAATAACACGACTCAGGGAAAATGAAAACGCTTAATTAAGAATCTATAATGATGAAAGAGGCGAATTGTGTGTGTGTGTGTTTGTCTCATCATCATCATCATCATCATCATCATCATCATCCCCTCACGGCTCAACTCAGCGGATTTCCTCATCACTCTTAAGTTTATAATATGAAACCTTGTAAGGATAGAGAAATTAAACTCCTTTAGTACCAATAGTCTCTCTCCCTCTCTCTCTCTCTTTATTCATCTATCTATCTATCTATCTATCTCTTCCTATCTCTACACCTCTCAATCTTTATCCTCAGCTTAAAGTGGTACAGTATATATAGAGAGAGGAGCCACACCCACTTACTCGGGGTTTGGTCATAAGCGTAAATTATCTCACACACATTATGTCTTAAACCTGGTAATTGACGACACCCTGAGTTGGCAACACTGTAGGCTGTGTATAGTGTATAATGTATAGTAGTGTGTATAATGTATAGTAGGATGTATAATGTATAATAGAGTGTGTATAATGTATAAGAGAGTAAGTATAGTGCACGGTATGCTGAAGTAGATTCCCAGAATGGTTTACGTATGATCCCTTAGCCACGATAATCATACATAAATGAATACACTCTCGCTGGTTAACAGTATCGGGATATCATACACAGGTTGGGTTGTTTCAATTGCCAGGAGTGACCTTTGGCTTTTCTGAATCACAAAAAAGAAAAGAAGAAGACTTGTAGTACCTCCTGATCAGTCCAACAGCGGTCACATGCCATATTGCTAACACGCTGAAGAACTGGGTACATGTAAATAAATCTTACGGTTTTTTTTAACAAGGAAATGTTATACCTTAATATTACCAAGACCTGTGATAAGCCCCACTGATCACCTTTAAAGCGCTACCAAGTCGGGGTCGACAACTAGTTTGTTATTAGTAGGCAGGACTTGGAGAGACACGTCTGCTGGGAATGAATCTAGAATGGACTATTGACTGAAATCAAGATGGGTGTACTGTTCAGGTAATACGGTTAACTAAAAACCTCCTGCCCCTTCAGAGCAACTTTTACATGAATTCCACCATTTTTATGAAGATAACTGCGCCGGGAAGATATGGGTTAGATAGTAAGGAAGTACTGTAATGTTCTGTCCTAAATAAGGCTACTTGAAATTGTTCGCACATTAATTAGAGCCGCCCGACAGAGGCTGTCAGACTAGAAAATATGGAAATGGAAAAGCTTTTCCGACATTTTTGTACAGAGTACAACGAAATTCTTGAGTTGTTGTCTTACATTTTCTGACATCTTCAGTGCACGAATAATTAAAGTGAACGTCCAGCAACAGATGTTATTGTGACAACTGCTTCATGTTTTATCCCCCACACAGTGATAATTTGTATAAAGTCTTAGATATTTACAAATAAACATACATAATATTTATTAAATTTCCATCATTTCTAGACACTTCGATATTTGTTCACTTTATTGCACACTTTTCTACATCTACACCCGCAGATGACAGCCTCGTCTGCCGTCCCCTTGTCTCACCTCCCTCAACATCCCTGACGCTCTTCTTCTCCCTACGTGTTCCATCCTTGACCTTCAAATGTATCTCTCTCCCTCTGTCATCCCCTTCCACATCTCTCCCTCTCTTTGTAGCCCTGTTCCTTATTTTTTCTGCCTCTCTCTTCCTCCTTATCAACCCCTCTTCCACTTCCTACTACTTCGGTCCCACCTCCTCTATACAGTAGTCAATCCCCTCCACCACTGTCTCTGTCGCCACCTCTTTATCAACCTCTTCCATTTCTTCTCATCCCTCAGCCAACCCCCTCTCCCCCTTCCCCACTCGCTCACCTGGGCATGAGGATGAACCTGGCGAAGGCGACGAGGAAGAGGACAAGAGGGACGGCGGTGGTGGCGGCGCCGCTGAAGGTCTCGCGGTGGTGACGGTAGGCGTGTTCTGTCTTGCCGTCCCTAAAGCTCAGCGTCAGGCAGTTGGTCTGGCTCAGCAGGTCCCTGTAAGACGCACAACAATGATGAGTCTCTGAGAGCGAACACTAACTCTGGGGGCTATTATTGTGGGTCTGTTATTGGTGGTAATTAGTGTAGGGGGCTGGTATTAAGAGTCGTGTTCCTGTGGGGGTATTTGTGGGGTACCTTAGGGGACTGTTATTCCTGAGGGTAATGTGGGGGGGTTGGGGGGGTTGTTACTGTGGGGTTGTTATTGCGGGCATTGATATTGCGGGGGCTGTTATAGGGTTCTAATACTGTGGGGTGTTATTGTGGGGTTAATTGTGGCGGCTGTTATTAAGAGAACCTACTGTGGGGTTTGTTATTGTGGGAATTAACTGTGGAGGTTGTTCTTGAGTCCTCACGTGGGTCTGTTACACTGAATAATTTCACTGTGGGGACTAATTCGGACTTAAGATGCGACTTACTTGCGTCCGTCGCGGTTGACCAACTCCTTCTTGAGCTTGGACTTAAAGGAGGAGTCTGGACGGCCGCCCTCCTGCAACGCCTTCAGGATTCTCGCTTCATCTGCCGTCGACAGTGTCTGTAAGGGGAGCGACACTCATCATAGAGGGTGGGAGAGGCTGTGTGTGGTTGAGATTGCAATGGGTGTAGAAGTAGTACCGGGTATATACAATCTTTACAAGTATAATTCAATAACACCACACATCAGTTAAGGGCGGAGAGGAACACATTGAGTGCCTTCTTAGAGTCAGTCGTGAAACATAAGTGGACAACTGATCGGTTAGTCTTAAATGAAGAGAAGCGTCGGGAAATTTAAGTTCGAATAACACTGAAAAAAATTATAAGCAGAAAGTGGAAAAGTGGGTTGAATCGATGGAACAATTGAATAACATTAAAAACCTTGTGATTTGTTTTTTATTCTCTCTCTAAGTGATTGGTTAATGCGGTCACGTTAAATACTCCAGGGCACACACACACACACACACACACACACACACACACACACACACACACACACACACACACACACAAATATACAACGCCAAGGAAAAAATTGGAAAGATGAACCGATTGTAGCAAAACAAGAGAAGTGCATACGAAACTTAGTTAACACTTGACCTCTTCCTGTAGTTGAGGACAAAATCATTACTATTGTTAGGCCTATAATCAATACCAAGACCATAATCCATATGTTGACTAATAATTCGGCTGATTTTATTACTATGTGGCAGTGTATGAATTAATGAATGAAATGTTTATTCATACTTAAAAATGAATCTTTGCATTATAATATACTGTATATATAACAGAATTAAATCATACATTCAACAACAACACAAATGGAACAACAACGCAAAATGGATCAACAACACGAAAGGCAATAAGGAATAGAACAACACGAATTAGAGAAACAGTCACATAATTCTACAAGAAGAAATGCTGTTGTAAATGATCTAGTGGTGTAGTACCTGGAGTACAAATATTTGCCCCGGAATGTGAGATTTAGAAACCGATAATTAAGAAATAGATAACAAAGAACAAACATTCAGAGTCTTTGAGAACTACTTTATACATTCTGCTGTAGAGGGTGTTGCCTACGAGGAGGTGAGTCGAGTGTCATTGTGGCACAGATGGTGGTGTGCTAGACTTCCGCACAATGTGTCACAGGTGGCGGTAAGCCCCCACACAGTGTAGCAGGTGGTGTAGTTGCCCCCACACAGTGTGTTGCAAGTGGTGGCATAGTAGGGCCCACACAGTGTGTCGTAAGTGGTGGTGGTGTGGTAGGCCCCTCACAGTGTGTCGCAGGTGATGGTGTGGTAGGGCCGAGGCAGACGTTCACAGTGGGGTTCAGCACATTAGGGGTTGTGAACGTGGGTCCTCTGCCCGGTACTTCACCCTGAGGTTAAAGTGGGCGAGACCACCCCCGCCTTTGAAGACCTCCCTGTGTCCATTAGTGCACTCACTAGATGATGGCCCAGCCAACGAGCGCGCCTGCATGGTTTAATTACCTTTACCCGCAGTTTAAAGCGTGACGGTCATAGTGTGACGCTTAGCAGGGTGATCTACAGACAGACAGTAAGGTGAGGGGAAAACAACAGGGTGACGGACAAGCAACAGAGTAACGGAAACACAACAGGGTGACGGACACACAACAGGGTGACGGACAGACAACAGGGTGACGGACAGACAACAGGGTGACGGACAGACAACAGGGTGAACACAACAGGGTGACGACAGACAGAAAACAACAGGGTGACGGACAAGCAACAGGTAACGGAAACACAACAGGGTGACGGACACACAACAGGGTGACGGACAGACAACAGGGTGACGGACAGACAACAGGGTGACGGACAGACAACAGGGTGACGGAAACACAACAGGACTATTGAGAGGTCTCACACCGGAGGACACTGTACGTTAAACTAGACGGCAGATTATTGTGTCGTGAATTCAGGGAACATCACCATCTCCCCCACAATGTAAAGAACAAGCGATGCATCCAGTGTTGATCTTGTGGTTGCTCTAAATAGAACTAAAGAGCATTACTGTAGAAGTTTTCCCAGGATCCAGGGAGGAGAAAAGCGGGCATATTAAAATTGATGTAAGGCCAGAAAATCCTCGAGAGTTTAATATCGAGTTCACACCCCATGAGAAATATATCCCAGTTCACCCCACAGTATACCTACAGTAAAACCTTCATACGGAATTCAGATTCGAGACTTTAAATTACTGGATTTATCGGGGACATTGTAAGGACTTAGGACCGTGTGTCATTAATGCAATTACACGCCAGACAAGTCACGGCACACATACAACCCCTCTATAACAATGAACTTATAAATACAACTATTACGATATACTGTCTACTAGTGTCTGTTATAATTAGATGGGATATATTTCTGAATTTCCAACTATAGTAGAATATTATGTTCTCTTATAAAAACTGTTTGTGTAGCCTTAAATATGACCGTATATAATGTTAACAAGTATATAAAGTATGATAGTTACCTCAACCTCACCCAGACAAACACAGGCGTCTGTCTTTAGAAAATATAATGAATAAAAATTTCTTTATGTTACCTATTATAAAACGTCAATTAGTCTCATTATTATTCAGTAATGAGGAGTTCTATCACATGTCGCAGAATACCAAGAACACTGAGACAAGAGGAATGTTTGGCTAGTTGGGGTCTTTTTATTACATAGCCCCGAGTGCATCTTTAATCGTAAAGAAAGAAGGGATAATTCTTCCTGCTATCTTGAGAATACGGCCATTAGTCTTCACAGGATAGCGCCATGTTTATTGTCATTGTAAAATCCAAAGTTAATACTATTTTATTTCATTATTTTTTAGTTGTAATGTATTATTCTCAATATAAATTTAAATCATATGAAACTAGTGAAGTAAGTATTTGACCTGTAATTATAGTGTGAAGAAACTATATAGTGTGAAGCAAAAATATAGTGTGAAGCAAAAATATAGTGTAAAGCAACAATATAGGGCGAAGCAAAAATATAGTGTGAAGCAAAAATATAGTGTGAAGCAAAAATATAGTGTGAAGCAAAAACATAGTGTAAGGCAAAAATATAGTGTCAAGCAAAAATATAGTGTAAAGCAAAAATATAGTGTGAAGCAACTATAGCTGTTAGGTTAGGTTAGGTTAGGTAATGTTGGTTTCTCTGAGTCAAGGTCGCTATCGTACAGTCATATACAATAATTTTATCCATAATGCCAAACCTGAATACATAAACGGGACTGGAATTGAACTGTAAATAATAAATTGTGGGCTATAAGTGTCATATATTTTTCGCTGTAGGTCAACACGGTTAAATGGGCAGGTCTTTGGTAAAAATACGAAATGTCTCTCTAAAGTAGGATATTGAATGGAAATATGACGAGCTTATTTTTTTCGTTAGCTTGGTGATAGTGGTAGTGATGATGGTAATAGTGGTAGTGGTGATATTGATGGAGCTGGCGTTGGTATTGGTGGTAGTGACAGTGGTGGTGGTGGTAGTGATAGTGGTGGTGGTGATAGTCATAGTGGTAATAGTGGTGATAGTGGTAGTGATAATGGTGGTGGAGATGGAGGTCACTTAATAATATACAGTCATCAGAAAGTTAACATTATGATCACACAAACAGGAAGCCAGCCGTTCTCTCAACACATATAACCTCACATGGTCATTAGAATGGCTTGAGAAATATGCCATTAGCGGGACTCCCCGTTGTGAGAGGCAGGAAAAGTGGCAGTGACTCACCCTCCTGATGGCAGAAATGTGCTGGCGACGGGAAGTGCCTGAGCTTATATCATCATCTAGTTTCCTATAATCTTCTCTCCTGTCTTTATTCTTTTTACCTTCATATTTCAAACCTTATTTTAGTGTGTGTGTGTGTGTGTGTGTGTGTGTGTGTGTGTGTGTGTGTGTGTGTGTGTGTGAACTCCATATCAGCGTTAGTCAATTTCTCCGCCTCATATTTCATTCACCCGACGTTCCCTCCCCACTCTCACTGTTCCTATGTCTCGCCTTACTCTTCAATTATTAATTACTCTGCACACAACTCAAAGACTGAGTATTTATTTTCGGTCCTATTTGTCTGTCTCTCGCTCAAAATAAATCAAGAACGGGTTTGCGGATGTGAGTCATACTTGATAGGGTTGATAACAAATGTAACAAATTTTGAGTAAAAACCGCTCTAAAATTGACCAGTGTTGTCATGATAACGGTTCGAACAATTGTAACATAGGATTATTCGGGGGTTAAAGAAAACGATGATAATGAGACAGTCTCCAGCGGTGACTATATTAATTTACAGTAACAGCGCCACTACTCGTTCGATGTACAGTATACAGTATAAATCCTACCAAACTCTGAAATCTTGTCTTGTGTAGGAAATTCGTGGGGGTGTTGTCGCGAGAGTCTGTCATCATCACCACTATCATCACCTCACTCAGTACTGGTCATCATCACCAACCCGGCGGTATCGTCATCTTGGAGGTGTCGCCGGAACAGGTAAATCCAGAAGATTCTATTATATTACTTATAAACGATCGTATCCATTTTAAACACGACCAAACATTTTTACTAAAGTGACTTGAACCTTCACTACCCCCCATCCCTGCCTTCCTCACCACTTTCCCCTTCCCCCCTTACCTCCCTCACCACATTCTCCTTCCCCCCTTACCTCCCTCACCACATTCTCCTTCCCCCCTTACCTCCCTCACCACATTCTCCTTCCCCCCTTACCTCCCTCACCACTTTCCCCCTCCTTCCTTACCTCCCTCACCACATTCCCCCTCCTTCCTTGCCTTCCTCACCACAGAATATAAGCAACTGTAGTGTTACTGCAATATTAACGCCATTTTGACCTTTATCTCTGTGTCGTAACTAAAGTAATAAATACGTTCTGACATCTGTTGTTAAGGGAATTAGTTGAATGTGGGATGTTTCAGGTCCCGCGGTCAGGGTCCAGGGGGTAGTGTGGGGAGGGTCGGGGAAGGGGTGAGGGGAGACAGTGAGGTAAGACGGATTCATCTATCATACGCCACACGGGGAAACCAACCTGTCAGGTGTCACAATTAAATACCTGAGATGCCGCCATGCACCTTATACACCATTAAAATGATACACCATTAAAGTTAGATTAGGTTAGGTTAGGTACTTAGTCTTGTGTATATAAAAGAACCATCAGTATGTAACTCTTACTTCCTTATTGCATTATTTTAACTACCCTTCTGTGTTGTGACGACTGAATCACCGTAACATGTAAATTACTTCATTTAACTCATTGCACTATTACAAAAACAACACAAAACAACTTACAGAGCTACTGAAACACGTCTGATCTATCTGATATGTTGAGTCTACATGGCTGGGTTCCATGTGGTGTCCTCGTAAGTATGTTGTTGTTATTGTCTTATAAACTGAACCTCATATTAGATGTTGTGATCGATGCGTCGTTAATTTTTCTTCACTGTTATGTTATCAAGAAGGTCCTGATAAGTTTTGGTTTGGTTGAGAGACAGATGGTGATGGTGATGGTGATGGTGGTGGTGATGTGATGGTGGTGGTGATGTGATGGTGGTGGTGATGTGATGGTGGTGGTGATGTGATGGTGATGTCAGGGATGGTAGTGGTATGATGGTGGTGTCAGAGATGGTAGTGGGGTATGATGGTAATGGTGTGATGGTAATGGTGGTGTTAGAGATGGTGGTAGTGGTAGTGTGATGGTAATAATAATCGTGGTGGTGTCAGAGATGATGGGAGTGTTGATGTGATGATATTGAAGGTGGTAGTGGTGTCAGTATAGGCAGTGATGATACGTGAAAGGGTTGGTGATGATGAGACATAAGGATGATGATGGTGATGATGATGATGAAAGGTAATGATGATAAGAGGTAATGATGATAATAATATGAGATGATGATGATGGTGGTAATGTTAACTATGGTGACATTTTCTTCGCATTGTTAAAAATTTTTTCCTCTAAACTCTAAATCATATTTTTTCCATATATTATAAATCTGAAAAAATAGTAATAGTTAAGATTAGAGAGAGAGAGAGTTAAGGTAAATGACTACTCACGGTGGAGTCTCTGGAAGCCATGGTGTTCTCTGAGGGCATTTCCCGCGACGGCTGCGACGACGAACTCTTCGTCCCGTTCCTCATCATCTGCAGCGACGGCCGTGGCTTGTACTGGTGGTGGAGGAGGCGTAAGGTGTTAGTGGCTTTTATTTTTTAATTCTTACTTTTGGGGAAACATATCTTTATTCTTCATCCCACTCAATAAGTGCAAAACTCCCCCTCACCAGAAACACAACTCTCACCTCTCATCGCTTATTGTCCCTCCCCTTACAACACCCGCGCAAGACCCCAGTTCCCCACTTTCACACGACCCCCCCTTAGTGGGTACAGGACGCCATTCAGTAGGTGCAGGACTTATCACTCACCGGGCGCAGGACCTTGGAGATGAAGTAGGTCTTGAGTCCAGCTGCCCTTAGCGCGTCCTCCCGTCGCTCACCGTACGCTGGCTCTACCTCGAACTCCATGCCGATATACTGTAGCGTCTTGTTGCTGATGTGCACCCGCCTGTGGGCACAACAACACCATTATTGGATCAGGAGGACCGGGAGGGAGACAGGGGGGCCAGGGTGGGAGGCAGGAGTGGGGGTACGAGGGTGGCAGGGGTAGGGTGTAGAAGGGTGGCAGGGGTAGGGGTAGGGGGGTGGGAAAGTGGCAGGGTTAGGGTGTAGAAGGTGCGGGGTTGGGGTGTAGAGGTGGCAGGGGGTAGGGGTAGAAGGTGGCAGGGGGTGAGGAGAATGTGGCAGGGGTGGGAGCAGGAAGGAAGTGGTGGACGTTACATGAAATTACTAAGAAAGATGTAGACTACATTAGTGTTAACCATAACTATAGAGGAAAAGTTTTTAAGTTATATTAATGGTAAATAAAAAAAAAAACGCGCCAGATCTTTCCCGCGGGGTGATGATGTAACACCAGGGAGGGAGACAATGTGCCACCTATCTGTCTGTCTGTTTATCTACACAATAAATGAAGAACGAGTTTGCTCATTAGCATTAGACTTGGTACGTTTGATGACATTTGACGAGGCCCACATAAACTTTTGGTGCCAATCTCACCCAAATTGACGAAGTGTTGTGATGGTAACGGTTCGTACAACGATAACAGATAGGGTACTTCGGGGTTAGAGAAAACGATGGCTATACTGTACTAAAATCAAATTAATTTGGCAGCTTGGCCCCGCCCCCTGAGCGTGATTGAAAATGAGCGTGTTTGGTTAATGGTGGGGAGGACAGCGCCCGGGAAGGCGTCATAATTATTGGTCACCAGTTCGACTCCCAGATTAAACCGAACACCGCTCACCACTTTATAAAATTCAAATTTCTTTCTAATATTTCCTTTACAGTATTAAGATATTCAATGTACTAATTTTCTCCTCCTCGCTTTTGTAAATTACTTTAGATTATAACTGAACGAGAATATGTGGAACGAAAAGATAAATTAATTAAATAATGAAGAGCTGTTGAGTGGTCGAAAGACGAAACTCACTAACCAATCAGGGACAATGAGGAGGTGGGCGTGACATAGCTGCTGAATTAATTTGATTATATACAGTATGGACACACACACACACACACACACACACACACACACACACACACACACACAGAGGAAGGTAGCGTGATTTATGACCACTATTCAGTTCCACAATTTACATATCCATTAACTTTTTTCCCTGGTAGGTGTCGAGACGCGGACAAATACTCAAACTCTCAAGATAAATTACTCTCACATAATTAATTAGAGCTAATTTATCACCAGCCGTAACTCTCAAGAAGTCCTGTCACGCCCATGAAACTGTTGAACATAGCCGAGGGACCTACCCTTAACGATTATAATTATATATGTGTATGCGTGTGTGGGAGACAATTACTTCACACCGTAACGCTTGGAGGAGCACCACACGAGGTGTCAATAATTTCGAGTTAGCCCGACTGCATATCGAGGCAGACAAGCGCCAGCGCCGGAAAGACGCTGCCGCCGCCCCTCCCGCACTAGATGTAGCCCTCCACACGTGCAACATGTGTGAACGACACTGCCGGTCCCGTATCGGCTTCTCTAGACACCTCAGAGCTCACCAACGAAGGTGACAACCTGAATAACTCATATCATTATATCATAGTTGGATGATCATCATCCTCGATTCCGAGTGACAACAAAGTAGTAGTAGTGTGTGTATGAAGACAGAGAGACAGACAGATACATACATAGGTAGAAATACTAATGGGTAATGGATGTGCCGATACAATACATAAGACATGTGTGAGGTAGAAAGTGGTGCAGAGCCTGAATAAATACAGAGCTCGCTTCTTGTCCTAAGTGTTGCTGGTCCAATCCCACTATACCCCCCAGTCCACCCAGCTGTTAACGGGTACCTAACATTATACAGTAGTTGGGGAGTGAAGATGGTCAAGTAGAGTCTCGGTGACGCTGCCTCCTTGTACACCGAAGGCTTAGTATAGTGTACCTCACCCGGCCTGGACGGAACACCACTGATCACTTCCTACTACGAGAGACTGTTTGTATAAGATGCTGTGTCGTGATGGAGTGGGTGTCAGAGGTGATGGGGGACACTTGTAAGGTGAAATTTGTGATGAAATAATTATTGTTGATATAATCTGCCCCGCCTAAGCTCCACTACCGCAACTATCTTCCCCTATCACCACCACTACCTCCACTACCACCCCCCACCACCCACCTCTACCATTACCAGAGCAGCACACAATAATTGAAGGAGTCTGAACACATCTTGAAAAGGGTATTGGAAAGGTGAAGAGGTCGCGACGGTCCTCTCGTTGGGGTGCTGAGGGCTGCCACCACTCATCCGCCACTCACACGTGTACGTTATGAGGTGATGTTCGTGTACACCGGCAAGAATGTGGAAGAAGACTCGTATGTTGTGTTGTGTGTTAGCTTTACTCCATTACACAACCAGTGGGAGTGGAAATTACACACACTTAGTATATGACACACACCTGGTACATGACAAACACACTTGGTATTTGACACACACGTAGTAATGACACACACACACACACCTGATACATGACACATACCTGGTACATGACACATATCTTAACACATAGTAAGATAAACACAGTTACATTTGCTTTGTACCCTGGATAGTGTAAGCGTGCAGGGGGGTAGAGAAGGAGGATGACGCCTTCAAATTACCTCTTGATCTCTGCTAATTTCGTGCCATCGTTAAGCTCTGTTACGTCGTTCATTACCCGAGTGAAGAGGAGTAAACAAAGGGGAAATAATTATGCCGCGTTTAATAAATTATATAAATTTGTACACTAACCGAGGAGGTGAATTAAATCTTTCCTCACGACAACAAATCCTAGCAGTTAATATAAGTTAATATAGTTAAATTAGATCATATGTTAAAAAGTGTGTAGAGAGAGAACAGGATAATATTAGGATTACATGACGAGGGTGAGGTGATAAAGAGGGGCAGTGACAAGTAATTACTGACTATAAAGTTCCCTCCCTGTACATAAACTTAGCCCAGGTACAGACGCGAATACCAAGGCAAATTCCAGGGGTTACTAAGGATTATTTTTCTTGTAATTGGTAAAGGCGATTATTTGTTTATTAGTAATCCCACTGACCCAATAGTTTCTTTACTTTTACCTCCAAGTTGTATCTGTTCGAGCTATCACGAGTAAACATGCGGACGACTGCCATTTCTATATTCCTTCGTCAGGTGCAGCGAGGAACGATACACACACACACACACACACACACACACACACACACACACACACACACACACATGAGGACACTAACATGAGGTAACATAAGCAACCTGCCACAAGAACTGAGCTTCTGAAGGATGGAAACTTTCGTATAATTTCTTCAGCAAATTGAAAAAAGTTTGTGTGTGTTTCCAGCAGATTTGGGCAAAGTTTAGGTATATAAAAAAGATCAATTAATAGAGTAAACTTAAGTTCTCTTCTTTTTCCAGCATTGTAATTTCTGCAATGGATTTATTGAACCAGCTCCTGCATGTTGCTACACCAGGGACCAAGGTCTACCATGATGATTATATTAATACTTAACTGATTAATGTGAAGGGGGCTATATTAGTTTTTCTCTGTCTGTCTGTCTGTATCTCGCTTTGTCTATCTCTGTCTGCCTCTCTCTCTACCCTTAATTTTACGTGACAACTCATTACACAAATAATGGAATATTTTTTAATTAACTTGGCCGCAGACCTCGGGGTAATAAGACAATACCATAATTAATTGGCAAGAAGCGGAAACAAAGAATGGTGGAGTTGTGGTTGTTTTAGATTGTTCTCCACCACAGCTCATTAGAGAGATGACACTAAAGACAGACTCATCGACTTCGGTTTCCAGGACAATGAGACAACACAAACCAAAAAATTACGAAATTCTGAGGAAGATTTATGTTTCTATATCCAGTTAATGTATTAGTTTATATTAAATTACTACGGGGGCGTTACTTCACTAATGAAAAAAATATCACTTACCCGACCACAACTAATGTCTTGAAAAATATCATAATGCATTAGTGGATGTATTAGTGGCATACCTGATATTAAAGCGCTACAATACCTGTGTTGGGTCACTACAGTACCTGTGTTGGGTCACTACAGTACCTGTGTTGGGGCACAACAGTACCTGTGTTGGGGCACTACAGTACCTGTGTTGGGGCACTACAGTACCTGTGTTGGGGCACTACAGTACCTGTGTTGGGGCACTGTGTGGGGCACTACAGTACCTGTGTTGGGGCACTACAGTACCTGTGTTGGGGCACTACAGTACCTGTGTTGGGGCACTACAGTACCTGTGTTGGGGCACTACAGAACTTGTGTGAGAATCACCAGTTGTAATCCTGTAAAGGTCAGGAGGACCTGGTGAGGTAATACCACCTCCAGCACAAGGTATAAGCCAGCTGTGAGAGCCACCAGCTGTTGGTGTTGCCAGCTGTGATCGGACACCAGCTGTGAGCTGCAAAAGCCGTGAGGGATCAGCGTGGCAGGGGGAAGGGACAGACTTACCCTGGTTTGCCGCTACTCTCCATCTTGTTGGCGAGGACGACATCTTTACTATAGACGTCGAACTGCCACTGTCGCTGGCCCAACACCCCGGCCAGCACCGCCCCCGTGTGGATCCCCACCCGCATGTCCACCGTGCACCCCGTGGTCTCCCGCACGTACCTGTAACACACACACACTGTTAGTACATCCTGGGGAACATTATATGGAATTTTAGTGTTTTCTCTATCTTTCTTTCATTCCAACTCTCACTCGCTCGCTGTATATATCTTTGTCTTTCTCTGATTTGATTTCATATTGAACATGAAATGATTGTGAGAGAGTGTCGGTGGATAGGAGAATACAATGTAAGTGGACTGATGTAAATGGACTAAGAGTGGAGGCAAAGTGAAGAGAATAAAAGTGTATGAGCCAACGAAGAAAAATGTAGATGAGAGATGTAAAGAAGTGACCGACACACACACACATGGAGGTTGGGTGGGGTGGGATGGGGATGGGATGGGGTGGGGTGGGGTTGAGTGGGGTTGGGGTGGGGTGGGGTAGGGTGGGGTGGAGTGGGGTTAGAAAGTTCAGGTGAGGATAATGAGCTAAGAAACTAACAGTGATCATTATGGAGAAGAGTGAAGGAAGAAAGAGAGAATAAAGGCATATTAAATAAACAATAAATAGAAACACCAACAAACTGGAATAGAGGAATAGCTAAAAGATAGAGGTACAGGTTCTCACAACTCACAAGGGCTTTAAAGAGAACAATAAACCGTTCTGCAGGGAAGATATAGAACGAGAAAGCTAAGAGAACAAATGAAAATGGCAATTATGAATAAAAGAGGGAAAATATAGTAGAATAGAAAATAAAAGAGAGGTTGGGAAACTACAATGAACAGGAGAAGATAACAGGGAAAGAGAGGAAGTAAGAGTGGTTGTAGACGTAAGACTATTATGGCATCAGGAAGACTCACTGCTGACAACATATACACAGGTTATGTATAGGATAGAGGGAAGTTTATATAAAGGAAAAAATAAGAATGAATGTATGAATAATGAAGGGAAGTACAAGGTATAAAATTATTAAAAGTAAGAATTGAAACAAAACAGAGTGAAGTAGAGAGAATAGAAAGATAAATGGAGTGTGAAATTAGTTCTGACAATAGAGCGTGACAGTGAATAGGTTTTAGAAGGAAGTGAATACATTTGTTTGTCTTATTTATAGATACAGAAATTAGAATTGATAGAGTAAAAATAAGTATTAACAATGTATATTTTTTAATGGAGTCCAGATATTTAATAAGACACTGATGCATGATAAGAAGGAGAGTTTTATGGAGGAGAGAAAAAGTAATATATAGTGAAAGTTGGACCAGGTCAATAAGATGTATCACTATGAAGAGTAATAGCTAGAGTGATAGTGAAGTGCAAGGTTTACTGAATAATGGTGGCAGATGTAGATGGGAGTTAATATTTATATACGGTACATATATCACGTTCTCTCTCTCTCTCTCTCTCTCTCTCTCTCTCTCCCGGCAGCAGCATGTGGCAGGGAAGTTATATTAGGGTGCAAGTAATACAGGCAGCAGCTCAGCCCTCAGTCCTCCTGAATAAGGCGGAAGACATGAGGAGGGAGGTTATACAAGCAGGTGGTGGGAGTGGTTGTGGTTGTGGTGGGGGTTGTGGTGGTGGTAGTGGTGGTTGTGGCGGGGGTTGTGGTGGTGTTGGTGGTGGCACAGGTAGTGGCAGGTGGTGGTAGGACAGGTTAAGCCTAAGAAGAATCTATGGAAAACACAAATATAATTACTCGGCCTTTGATGCAACACTATAACTCTGACCCTTATTTTATGGTTAGATTTTTTACACGTTGGTTGATACACGTGTCCAGAGGCGGTGTGGGGAGGGCAAGGGTGGTGTTGGGGAGAGGAGGAGGGGCAAGGATGATGTTGGAGGAGAGGAGGAGGAGG